GCGCACTCTTAAAATGGGATTCAAATAAATCGCATGAAAATGCCAACACATTGCTTTTTGACCAAGCTAGACCGTAGTACTGCACGGTTCTAGAAATCTTCAGCCAAGAACATTGATTTGTTTTTGTGACTGGATAATTCTCGGGCTGAGAGCATTCTACCACGGTGCGACGAGAACGAACCCGTGTTCGAGTGTGTAGGGCACGAGCCCCGATTGGAGAGCAAGGGTCAAAAGGGGTTCAGAGCCGTTGTCCTGAACTGATCCGCTGGCCCACCTTGCCGTGCCGTGCCATGCCGTGTGCCGGTCCACTGACAGTGTCCCACTGCCCCACGCGTGCCGCGGCCATTTCGCCCTTTGAACGTGCGTTCTCTGTGCAACCGCAAAGCCGAGCGGCTCGACTGACCGTCGGATCGGCTGCCCAGCAGACTGATTCCGCGAGTCGCTTTCGTCGCTCTGTCTCTCTCGCACCTGCACGGGACGCCCCATGAGTGCGAGGGAGACGGAGCGACGACTCTCGGAATGAGTCTGCTGCATGTAAACAAAGCGCGGCCGGGGCAGCGACCGTGACGCCGTGCCGTGGCGTGGCGTGGCGCGGCGCGCCGGTCCTCTCGCCAGGAGAAAGTAAACGGACCCGAGAGCCGAAGCGGTTCGGAAACATTCGGGAGTTTGTCGTCGCGTCTTTGTCGTGGCGGTGATACACATCGCACTGCTTTCGTTGACACGACTGGTTACCGCATCCGCCGCGGCGTGGGTGTCGTTACTACACTGTGCGTCGGCGAGCCTCTGACATCACAGCCACCGCCGCAGCTCGGCCACGGGAGGGCCGCGCCGCCGGCCGCCCGAACGAGTACCGCCGGCGTCCTTGGCCTCCACGCAGCTAGCAGTACCGGTACACTCCAAATCGAGAGGCGGTAACATTACCACATTTCGCTCGCGGTAATTTAAATTGTATTCGCGGTGACCAGATTGTACTACCGTGTGAAAAAGAATTCGACCGTCACTACTCCACGCGTCAGAGATTTACAACGCTAGCCTTATGGATGGTCTCTTGCGCGCGGGGTAGCGACGGTCGGACTCTTTTGCACACGGTAGAAAGGCGGTACAGACATTACCGCTTTTGCAACACCGTGTTTTACTGCCAATTAGATTCGCAGTGTACGTGCAACCTGCCACTGGTATTCCGGGAACGTGACGTCACATTTGATTGATCGTGAATCGTGCCTCCCTCGTTGGAATACTGGGCCATATTCATTTCAATGCGAATCGGCGCACAGTGGGCCAGAAAACTGGTGGAGGTGGCCGAAATCCCAGACGCATTTTGAGCTCCAACGTCACTAAACGGGACTCGAACCGAACGTGTGACCCCAGCAATGAGTTGCTCTTCACTGAGAAAACCTTTACAAACTATTTTGAGCCTTACAAAGAAAAGAAGTTTGTACAACAAAATATTTTGAGCATACATAAGCTTACAAAGAAAATACTTCGTAATTTACGAACTATTTCTTCGTATAACAAAGTATTTTAGTTTGTTATATGTATGCTCAAAATACTTCGTAAGGTTTTATGAGTGTTCGAACGAGGAATCTGTTGGTGGAGTCACACGTTCGGTTCGAGCCCACGGTCTTCTGCCCCACTGTGCGGTGGTTCGGTCCGAAGGCCCACAAGACGCACGATTCACACGTTGAAACGAACTTGGCACAGTTTTCCAACAAATATGCGGCACCATTCACGAACTAATGAATTATGCGACTTCATTATCCTGGATTACCAGTAGTTAGAGGGACCCTTGGGGGCGCAGTGAGCGTAGCGACTATTCATTATTTCTAGAGGCACCACTCTCGCCTTCTTCTTGTGTCCTCCCACTCGCCGGAGTGCCCGACTGCCCTCAAACCGTCGGGGCCGTCGCGTCGCGAGCGGAGACGCCCACTGTCAAACCGAAGCTCACTGTCCACTCCAATTACATTTGGCTCTCGCTGGCGGAAACGGTGCGTGCATGGGGCTATGTTGTTGTTTTTTGTTGTTGTTATGGTAATGCAGGCCACTTTCTCTCTGCCATAACTCGGCCGCCCTTCTTCCCATAACTATTACCCGACTATTACCGGGCCTGGGCGCGTCTCGGCCGTCTGGCCGCCATAAAGGAGCCCCTCCTCGGTTCGCGGTGTGGTGGTATTGGGAGCGCGTCGGCTCACCCGGACAAACACTGCACTCTGTGAAAAAACCAACCGAGTGTTCGGAGCACCGTGCGCTTTTTGCGGAAACAAGTGTGGGGAGCTCCGCACTCTTGAAATTCGGATGTGTGGAAATTTGCAGTCTCCGCTCTTCGAAAAAAGCAGAGTTTGCTTGCACTGTCTTCACACTTCAATGCGGAGTTCCTCACGCACTCGTGTAACTTTGGTCAGAATGTCAGAAACATGTCTGAAATCCTAAATTAAAATTCGCGCACCCCTAAAAGCTGAAAGTCTGAAAAATTACTCTGATATTGATGGTTTGAGTTCTTCGGAAAGTCAAGAGGTGTTTTCAGCTTTCAGAGATGCGCGAACTTTGATCAGGTTTTCAGACAGGTTTCTGACATTCTGACAAAGATTAACACGAGTGTGTTCGCACCGTGCCTCGAGATTCGGACATAGAGTATTGTCCGTCTGGGCAGCGCTTCAGATGCTTGCGCTTTCTATGCTTGCGCACACGTGACAGGGCCTTCCGGTGTCGTCCCTCTCCAAGCGAACCAGTTCCGGCGCCTTCTCCGGATCCGGTGCCCCTCTTCGCGAGAGAGAGAGAGAGAGAGAGAGAGAGAGAGAGAGAGAGAGAGAGAGAGAGAGAGAGACGCTGAGTGAACACCGGCGTCGTGTAGTGGCTTCGCTTGTCGTTCCCACGCGACTCTTTCCCCGCGACAACTCTATTAGGCCGATCCGCTGCCTGGGTGGGTGCAAGAGGCTGTCTGCTTGTCTGTCCGTCTCATGAGAGCAGCAGGTCGGCGCCTTCACCTTCACCCACTGGGCAAGCGTCGCAAACACGAGGGTTCTGTGAAAATTGGAGTTGCCGCTAGCGATTTCAAGGATAATTTTCCGTACACTGAGAATGAAAGAGTCATGATCATGACTAAAATTTTGGGTGAGGAGTTCTTTATTACCCAAATTTGGGTGAGGAAATTTTCCTCGCCCAAATTTGAGTGAGGAAAGTTTCCTCACCCAAATTTGGGTCATAATACTATGGAGCTAGATAGGGAGCTGATACACCCTTCCTCACCCAAAATTGGGCGAGGAACCTTTTCTCGCCCAAATTGGGCGAGGAAACGTTCCTCGCCCAAATTTGGGTGAGAAAGTAAACCTCGCCCAAAATTGGGTATTGATCATGACTTTTTCATTCTCAGTGTACAAGGGTGTCATGAAAACAATTGATGACATTGTTATTGTCACTCCGATTGCAATAAGTATAGGAGCTTTGATGAAAATGTCATCAGTTAGTGATTGTCATCGTTCGAAAGTGATGAAAAGCGGCCATCCATGATTTTGGTCATAAAAGTGACAACAAATTTTGACAGTGCGTTCCGAAATGATGGCAGCGACTGGTGGCCCCAAAGCGAGGTGCCGAGGGTTGGGTCAGGCGGCATAGCGCTTTCTCCACCCTGTCGCTCCAGAAGGCGAAGCGCTTCCCGAAATCGGCGAGTCTCCTACACGGCGAGGCGCGGCGGCGCCGCGGCGCTGTGGGTGTCGCCAGTGTCGCGGACGCGGACCGGCCGGGTGACACGGCGAGCGTTGTGCAACGACCGCCGGCGCTGTGCCCCCCGTCGCTCTGTCTCTCTCGCACCGAGGCGGCACGCCCCAGGAGTGCGAGAGAGACAGAGAGCGCTGTGCGGAGGCAGCCTGCTGCTTTCTTCGCGGCGCCAAAGACACTCCAAACTCCGAGTGCGGCGCTTGCTGCCGCAGTCACGAAGGCAAAGGTCCCCTCGAACTTGAAGGGGGACCTTTCGGCGCATCCTCGGCGGAACTTCCGTCTCTCTCTCTCTCTCTCTCTCTCTCTCTCTCTCTCTCTCTCTCTCTCTCTCTCTCTCTCTCTCTCTCTCTCTCTCTCTCTCTCTGTCACTGTCTCTGTCTCTCAGTCTCTCTCTGTGTCTGTCTGTCTGTCTCTGTCTCTGTCTCTCTCTCTCTCTGTCTCTCTCTCTCTCTCTCTCTCTCTCTCTCTCTCTCTCTCTCTCTCTCTCTCTCTCTCTCCCCCACGGCGTTGCCGACACCACTGGGCACAAAGCCCGCGCGTTGCGAAAAGTGTGGCCAACATTATGCCGTCCGTGCATGTCGCGCTGTCATGTCGTCGCGTTGGCAGCATTGCCGATTGGGCACGCCGCGTTGGCACCGCCGCCGGACTGGCGTCTAGAGTCGTCGCTCTGTCTCTGTCGCACTCAATGGGCTCTCCGTGAGGGTGCGAGAGAGACGGAGCGACGAACCGCGCTGGCTTCTCTGAATCGCTCGGCCGGCCGGGCGGTCGCGTGCCGCGAGCGGACGAGGCGTGGGCTTGTACGGAAACACCACGCAGCCCGACCGATTCCCAATTAACGCTCCGTCGCTCTGACTCTTTCCCACTCACGGGGCGCCCCTCGCTCCCCACTGAGGTGCGAGAGAGACAGAGCGGCGAAACGACCCTCCTCGTGGGCCATCAGGTCAGATCGTCGCCTGTCTCTTAGCATGGTGCAAACGTGGACAACTCCACGTTTGAAGTGTGGAGGCTGCAAACTCTGCACATCCAAGTGTGGAGACTGCAAATTCCACACCTCTGCATTTCAAATGTGGAGTTGTCCACGTTTGGTTTTACGGTGTCGTTTCGCGCTTGTTGAACGTTGCCTGGTCTAACCCAGTCCTCCTTCCGTTGCAGCCATGCGCGTGGTGGTGCTGGCCGGCCTGGCGGCGCTGCTCCTCGCCGCCCTGCTGCCCGCGGCCTCGGCCGACTGGTCCTGGGGCGACAAGGACGGTGCGGCCCCCGTGTCCGAGGCCACCGCCGACCAGGGCCCCGCGGCCGAGGCCCAGCCCGGCGCTGACGGCATCCTGGAGGTGGCCGGGCCGTCCGCGGCCGCCACCGACCTCCACGCCGACGTCATCGACGACATCCTGCGGTCCGGGCGCCAGGGCCGCAACCTGGAGGGCTACGACGAGGTGTACGCCGACCCCAACGTGCGCGACGCCCTGGAGAACGGCAACGAGACCTCGGCCAGGCACTACATCAAGGACAGGCTGTGCAACCTGGGCCTCAGCTCGGTGAGTGCGGGTGCGAGTGCACTGTCAAACCGAGTGACGGGGAACTCTACATTTCCTGGTGATTCTCCGCACCTGGACTTGGGGAGTTTGAAGTCTTCACACTTCAAGTGTGGAGTACGGTGGAGTAGCTCACACTGCCCACATCTCTTGGCATGGTGCGGACGTGGAGAACTCTGCACTTCCAAGTGTGGGGACTTCAAGATCCACACCTGAAGTGTCGTTCCTCACACTTAGTTTCGCAGTGTATTGCTTTGTGCGCGTGACGGTGTCGAGTCAACGCCTTGCTCTGTGTCCCAGTGCGACGAGGACCCTGCACGCGGCGCGGTGGAGCCCCAGGACCTGATCTACGCGCAGCCCGTGCACATCAAGCCCGTGGGCGCACCCATCGCCGCCCTGCCCGTGCGCAACCCGCACGCCATCCGCCCCTACGGGCCGCCCCGCCCCCACGGCCCGCCGCCCCCCGGCCCCATCTACGGCCGCCCCCCGGCGCCGCACTCCCGCCCCCACTACGGCCCCCCGCCCCCGCCCCCCGGCCCCGTCGCCCCCGGCCCCTACTACCCCGGCCACAAGGTGCCGCCGCCGTCCTTCGAGGCCAACGGCCCCGTCGACAGCCCCTACGCCTTCGAGTCCGTCCACGGCGCGCACGGCTTCAACAAGAAGAAGAGCTCTTACAGTGTGCCTGAGCACGTGCCCGCCAGCGGCGTGCAGGCGGCCGGCGCGCAGCAGCACATCCACCACCACTTCCACCACGCCGACAACACCGTCGCCTCCCTGGCCGGCGCCTCCGCCGGCATCGGCGGCGTCAACTCCGGCGCCTCCGGCCTCGGCGTCAACGGCGTGGCCGGCGCCAGGCCCGTGTACGAGGCCGGCCTCGGCGGCTACGGCAGCTCGTACGCGCCCGCCGCCAGCTCCTACAACCCCACCACCACCGGCTTCACCCCCGGCCCCGCGTACCCGCCCAACCAGGCCTTCTACAAGAAGGAGCTCAACCTCAAGCAGCCCGTGGGTGAGTTGCAGAGCTCTCAGCTCGACGCGTTTTGAGCTCCAGAGTCGCTAAATGGGACTCGAACGGAACGTGCGACCCCACCAATGGATTGCTCTCCGAACAAGGAGTTCGTTGGTGGGGTCACACGCTCGGTTTGAACCCTGTTCAGCGATTCTGGAGCTCAAAACGCATAGAGTTTCGGCCGCCTCCACCGGTCGTCTGGCCCACTGTGCGAGGGTCCTGACGACGCCCCTCACTTTGCAGCCAACAGCCTGAACGGCGGTGGCGCGTACGGCAACCGCTACGCCGGCCTGCCCGGCTACGAGACCGGGCGCGCCGAGGGCGGCCTGGACTGCTTCTGCGTGCCCGTCGAGCAGTGCCCCGCGCACGAGATCCTGCGCAAGGAGGACGGCAACGGCTTCATCGACCCCCGCAACGCGCCCGGCAGCGACATCCTGGCCGACGACGTGGTCGTCACCGACGAGAACGGCACCATCGTCAACGCCCCCGTCGCCGAGTCCGCCGTCGCACAAGCGGTGAGTGTCTCATGACGCCGCACAGTGGGCCAGGAGACCGGTGGGGCGGCCAAAATTCTACACGCGTTTTGAGTTCCAGAGTCGCTAAACAGGACTCGAACCGAACGTGTGACCCCACCAATGGATACTCTCCGAACGAGGAATCCATCGGTAGGGTCACACGTTCGGTTCGAGTCCTGTTTAGCGACTCTGGAGCTCAAAACGCGTGTAGAATTTTGGCCGCTCCGCCGGTCTTCTGGCCCACTGTGCGCCCTCTCTCTCTCGCACTCGTGGCGCTCCCCGGAAGGGTGCGAGAGAGACGGAGCGACGGACCGCTCTTCCGAATCACTCGGCTGCTCCGTTGCGGCACAATGCCTAGGCAAAGGCTTCCCACAAGGCGCCGCTCTCTCTGGGACCTCCACTGTATGCTAATGGCGATCGCGCCGCCAATTTGGCTGGGAGGGGAGGGGGAGGGGGGAGGAGTCTTCTCTAAGAGAGGTAAGCGCGCACTGCTTGTTGTTGCCATTGACACGCCACGGCACGCCACGGCACCCCGCACTGTAGTCGTCTGGGAAGTTCTGATTCGCTGGGCACAACAACTCTCGGCGCGCTTCGATCTCGAGAGTCCGCAAAGAGGACACGCACCACAGTGGGCCAGAAGACTGGCGCCGGCGGCTGAAACTCTAGAAGCGTTTAGAGCTCAGAGTCGCTAAACAGGCCTCGAATCGACCGTGTGACCCCACCAATGGAATGCTCTCTGAACGAGGAATCCATTGGTGGGGTCACACGTTCAGTTCGAGTCCCATTTAGAGACTCTGGAGCTCAAAACGCGCCCGGGATGTTTGGCCGTCCCCACCGGTCTTCTGGCCCACTGTGCGCACCCCACTAGCTTCCTAGGCAAGCGCACCGTAGTCACTCACTAACTCCATCACTGGTCACCCCACCGCAGGGCGAGAAGGCCGACGACAGCAAGGACGAGAAGCAGGCCGAGGAGAAGAAGGACGACGAGAAGAAGGAGGAGGAGAAGAAGGAGCGCAGGAAGAGGCAGACCAACAGCGGCAGCGACAGCGGGGTAAGTCGCTTTCCCGGCTTTCCCGGCCTCTCCCGTCAGACAGTGTAGTTACAAGCCGAGACAATGGCGGCGCCAATCACCACACTGGAAGTGAAATGATTAATTCTGTAGCTATCGGACATAACAGCGTATCTACCATAGGATTCCCTATGGACATACGTTGTTATGTCAGATGACCGCCCAATTATCAGCATCAACTCTCATGTATAATCTTTACATCCAGATCTAACAGTTATGTACTAGAATTATGCTAAAATGTCAAAGCAGAACTAAAAGCAAGCAAAAAAGCAACAGAAACAAGGGATGCATTGAAGCAATGTTCTGTGCGTGATTGGCAAAGTCATTGGTTGAATCATAACTGTATTTCTATTTAATGATAGCTATGCTTAATGCTTAATATTTTGGAGCGTAAATTGCTTCTTAATAGTGCCTCCGTTCCGCGGGTCACTTTAACAGCAACATCTAACCATTCAAAATTGCTCACCTCCTTTGATTTAAAAACAAAATTGCCCATGAAAACCTTGTTTTAATTTTCGACAGGCATCTGTCATTTAAAAGGGAATTGTTTCATTAATTGAAACCTACGTTAATATTTTTCGCCCGAAATCATGTCAAACCAAGTGGTCTCCTCTTTGGGCATTTCTCCGAGAACATAGAAATTTTGTTACAGATGGATTCCGGTACCCGATTACTCGGTTATCGAAAAATTCAATAAACATTGGATTCACGCCGAGTTACCCCAGATTCTCAGAATTTCCGCGATTACCGATTACTTCGAAATTCGGTATCCATAATAACCAATGCTGAAATACCAAGTCGTATTCCCCTCGATTTCTCCTCATTTGGACGAGTGGAGATTCAGTCTACATGTGTGTAGAGCTGCTCACAGAGCCTCTTGACGTGGAGAACTTCATACTTTATGTGTACAGACTGCAAAACTCTGCGCTTCCAAAATGCGGAGACTGCAAATACCACTCCTCCGCATTTCAAGTAGATGGAGTTCTCCCACTATTGGTTTCACAGTGCATCCTTTTTTAACGACCGGCGCCGTTGCGTTCCGGTGCACCCGAACGGTCCAGGTGCTAACACCCGCTCCTCTCACCGCCCCGCTTGCCTCACCCTCACCGTGCACTTTGGTTTGTAGCCCCAGGGGACCAAGGGGGACGCCGAGAGCGACTCGCGCCCGGCCGCGTCCGGCGACGACGCGAACCACGCGGCTAGCCCCAGAGCCATCAACGAGTCCGACGACGAGGTCTCCGGAGTAAGTGCCACCCCTTGCAGTGCAGGCCCCACAAACCGTGGCCGGAAGACCGGCGGAGGCGGCCTGAACTCTAGACGCGTTTTGAGCCCCAGAGTCACTAAACAGGACTCGAATCGAACGTGTGACCCCACCAATGGATTCCTCGTTCGGAGAGCGATCCATTGGTGGGGTCACACGGTCGATTCGAGTCCCATTCAGCGACTCTGGAGCCAAAAACGCCTGTAGAGTTTTGGCCGCCTCCACCTAGTCTTCTGGCCCACTGTGCGCCGGCGGCCTAAACTCTTGACGCGTTTTGAGCTCCAGAGTCGCTAAAAAGGACTCGAATCGAACGTGTGACCCCACCAATGGATTCCTCGTTCGGAGAGCGATCCATTGGTGGGGTCACACGGTCGATTCGAGTCCCATTTAGCGACTCTGGAGCTCAAAACGTGCCAAGCGTTTTGGCCGCCTCCACCGGTCTTCTGGCCCACTGTGCGGCCTCTGCGGCCCTGCCTAGCCCCGGGCTGTGCGATACCGCGCGGCCCTCTCTGGCGCCACGCCGCCCTCTTCTTGTACGACTCTGTAGCGTAGATTGGCCTTCTTCCGGTTTTCTCCGCGTTCTCTTGCTTTCTTTCTTCGTCCTCTCCACACTCCGACGGACACGGACGGACGCTGTCGGCAGGTGCCGAGACATTCGCCCGATACGCTTGCACGAGCGCGCGCACACACACTCACAGACAGACACACTCGCACAGACAGACACAGACACACACACTGACTGACACTCGCGCACACACAAACACTCACAGACAGACAAACTCACTCGCACAGACTCACACACTCTCACACACACGCACAGACACTCACGCACGCACACAGACACACACACACACACACACACGTTGGACGACTTGACGGCCGCGGGGGCGTTGCCCGAAGACTGGCTGCGGCCGAAGACCACCCGCCCTCGCCTCCCCCACCCGCTGCAGCCGGGGAGGCTGCCCACCCATCCCGGACCCCTGGAAACGCTGGGAGCTGGAAAGCTGGAAACACTGGAAGCTGGAAGCGGAAAACTGTGGAAGCTGGTGCGTGGCCGCGGTGGGCTTGGTGGGACCATCTAGTTGCAACTTGGGGCGACGGCTAACCCTAACCAGAGCGAGTGCCAGGCCATGCCGGCGCGGCGGCCGTCGTCGGGTGGCGCAACTAACGCTGTAACAACGCGGCGCCGACGGCGGCGGCGCGCGGAGGGGGAGTGTCTGGCGCCGCCACCTGAGATTCAAAGTTCGGCAGAGGGCCGTCGCTCTCGCTCCGTCTCTCTCACGCCACTGTGGAATGCCACTCGACGTGGGAGAGAGACGGAGCGATGAAGGGCCATTCAAAGTCGCGCCAGCCACCCCCTCCCTCCCCGCGCGCCGGCACTGGAGGCGCCCTGTGCGACGCAGCGCGGCGACGACCAGTGCGACGAGTACGCCAGTGGGCCATGCTCTTGCTTTGCAGCGCCTGTTCGGGGTGAACAACTTCCAAGGCGTCAACGGCGTGATGCAGAACGCCCAGGTGCAGCCGACGTTCGGCCTGTCCTTCGGGCTGCCCAACCAGGGCGCCGCGGGGCTGTACCCGCTGGCCGGCCACGGTCCCTTCCCGCTCGGCAACCCTGCTGTGCAGGGCGGCGGCATCGACCTCGGCCCCATCGCCGTCAACCCGCTCGTGTCCGTGCAGGTCACCAAGGACCAGTACGGCGGCAAGGTGGTCAAGCCCTTCGTCAACCTGCACGTCACGCCCAACCCGTACCTCGTGACCAAGTTCCTGCACAGCCTGCACGACAAGCACAACAAGATCAACCACTACCACAAGCACTTCTACAAAATCAACCAGCGGCCCTACTACTACAAGCCGGGCTTCGGACACCCGCCGCCCTTCGTGCACGGCCCTGGTTACGGCCCCGGCTACGCGCCTGACTACCACGGCTACCGCACCGATGACATCCTGGTCGGGCCCGGCGGCCCCGGCGGCCCCGGCCTCCTGGTGGGACCTGGCTACCCCGGCAACGGCCCGGCCCCCGACTACCACCCGCACGACCACCACGACCACCACGGGCCCCTCGTCGGCCCGGACTACCACGGCCCCGGCCCGCTGGTGGGCCCGGACTACCACGGCCCCGAGCACCCCTCGCACGGCCCCGGCCCGCTGGTCGGCCCCAGCTACGACGGCGGCTACCCCAACACGTACGCGCCCAGCTACGGCGGCTTCGGCGAGCCCCCCGTCGGACCAGCGCCCTACCGGCCCCCCAGTGGCGGCTACGTGTCAGACGCCGACGACCAGTACGCCGGCATCTACCGCAGCAACTACAACCGCTCGCTGTCCTTCCCCGGCGACGGCTCCGCCAGCGACCCCCCGCGGCCGCCACTGTACCCGCCACTGCCGCTGGCCAAGAGCGACGCCAGCGCCGCCAACAAGCCCGTCGTCTTCCCCAGCGACCGCCGCAGCGACCGCCGGCGCAGGGAGGCCGTTGAAGCGCAAGACGAAGTGCATGAGGGCGGTGAGGAGGGCAGGAGCGCCTCCGGGGTGCAGCCCGAGAAGGTAAGGCGGAGGCCGCGTGTCCGAGGCCGAGTCCCCGAGGCCCAGCCGCAGCGCGTTGACGGACTGACCACCACGACGACCCGACACCACCACACTGCCTCTCTCCCTCTGTCTCTCTTACTCCGGCTCGGCAGCCCGGCAGCGTGCTAATGCTCTCCTTCTCCTTCCCGCAGCGCCAGGCGTACTACGGCGGCCAGCAGGGCCCCCGGTGCGGCCCGCGCCACGTGTGCTGCCGCCGCCCCGCCCGCCAGAGCCCCGTGTACCGGCCGCAGCCCCAGCGCGCGCAGTGTGGACGCCGCCAAGCCCAGGGCATCAACGGGCGCATCAAGAACCCCGTGTACGTGGACGGCGACTCCGAGTTCGGCGAGTACCCCTGGCAGGTGGCCATCCTCAAGAAGGACCCCAACGAGAGCGTCTACGTGTGCGGAGGCACCCTCATCGACAGCGTGCACATCATCACCGCGGCCCACTGCGTCAAGAGGTGAGACACTCCGCCCTTTCAACTTGTCCCTTGGGACTTGCCCTTTGCACTTCAATCTTGTCCCTTAACTGCCCTGGGGATCTTGGCTCTAACTTACCCTTGGACCTTTCCTTCTTAGACTCATGTCCCTTAAACTTGCCTGTGGATCTGTCCCTTAAGCTTGGCCCTTGGACCTTAGTCCCTTTCTTGAACTGAGTCTCCTTGAAATTTGTCCCTTTGAAATTAGTCCCTTGGAACTGAGTCCCTTTGAACTTAGTCCCTTTGAACTTAGTCCCTTTGAACTTAGTCCCTTTGAACTTAGTCCCTTTGAACTTAGTCCCTTGAACTTAGTCCCTAACAACTTAGTCCCTAACAACTTAGTCCCTAACAACTTATCTCCTTGTAACTTAGTCCCTTTGAACTAGGTCCTTGTAACTTAGTCCCCCTTGTTCCTTGGAACTTGGCCTTGAGAACTGGGCCCTCGGCTTGTCTGCACGTGTTCTAACTTCCGTTCTCGCTGCAGCTACGCGGCGCAGGACCTGCGCGTGCGCCTGGGCGAGTGGGACGTGAACCACGACGTGGAGTTCTACCCGCACGTGGAGCGCGACGTGGCCGCGCTGGTGGTGCACCCCGAGTTCTACGCCGGCACGCTGTACAACGACCTGGCCATCATCCGCCTCGCGTCTGCCGTGGACCTGACGCAGTCGCCGCACATCTCCCCCGCCTGCCTGCCCGACCAGTACACCGAGTACGCGGGCAGCCGCTGCTGGACCACCGGCTGGGGCAAGGACGCGTTCGGCGACTTCGGCAAGTACCAGAACATCCTCAAGGAGGTGGACGTGCCCGTGCAGTCGCACCAGCAGTGCGAGCGCCAGCTGCAGCAGACGCGCCTGGGCTACGACTTCAAGCTGCACCAGGGATTCGTGTGCGCGGGCGGCGAGGAGGGCAAGGACGCCTGCAAGGGCGACGGCGGCGGCCCCATGGTGTGCGAGCGCGGCGGCTCCTGGCACGTCGTCGGCGTGGTCAGCTGGGGAGTGGGGTGCGGCCAGAGCGGCGTGCCCGGCGTCTACGTCAAGGTGGCGCACTACTTGGACTGGATCCGGCAGGTCACGAACCGCTACTAGACCGCCATCGAGAAGACTGCCGCGAGCGGGGATCGAACCACGGTCTCCGTGTCGCCGGTTCGACATCGAACCGACTCAACAGATCGCAATGATAGAGCGCCAGCTCCTTCGAACGCTTTTTCCGATTTCTTCCCCTTTCACCTCCCGCCTGTTGCCATTCCTTCCTCACTTGTATCTTTTATACTGGCGTTCATCGACGATACTCGCTTTTTTAGTTTAATTTTTTCCTCATTCGACACTCTACTTAAATAGAGTACAAATATGTGATGTGCTACCCATTCGGTGATTTATTTAATTTAATTTATTAATTTCATCTTTTATTTAATTATGAAATCATTTCTTCTCGCTCTGAATTTCCTTATGAAAACGTTTACATGTGAAAGCTTCATCTTCTTGTTCTCTTTTGTATTTTTAGTTGATACGTTGCCGGCAACGTTGTCGCAAATGTCCTTTTGGCGTGTGCCAAATAAATGTTTTAATAATATTCGGGTCTCGCGGTGACACCATTCGTCAGAATGCCCTGACCACGAGGCCCGGAACGAATGTACTGCATATTCATGCAAAAATCGTCGTAGGTGGTCGGTGTTGTCTTTGGGAGATCGATTTACACGTTTGCACAGCTGACGCTGTCGGGTTTCAGACCTAGGAAACCCAGGGATCTCATGGCGTATCCGCTGGAACTCAGATTAAGATGTTAAATATGTACAGTTTGTGAATCATCATAGTTGGAGGGGAATGATTTGGGCTTTCCACCTCATGTTTGTAAATATGCCCGAATAATGTGCATTACCGAAGTAAGCTCGATTGAAACTGTAAAATGTATTTATATTTTTTTGTACTGCCACAATTTGTACGTGTGTATCGTGTAATTAAACGGTATTTCACAACTGTTATCTTTGACTGAAGACCCTTACCCAACCCCATAGGAGTAAAGTACACTAATACTCGTTCATGTGATAAGGCGAAAAGGATTTCGTTTATCGGTTTATTGGTATAGCCCACAGTGAATTAAAACAAACACACAAAAAACAAACACACGTTGGACATAAACATACACCAATTACATTTTGAAACTCTCTTATGCCCTCAGCAACAGCATGCCATACAGTTTTCTGGGAAGGAAAACTTACCCAAAAAAGACATCGTAGTCAATCAGACCATCACGCCCGCTCAAAAGAACAACTCTTTATGATTTAATGTGCTTCGATAGGTCCCACGAACAAAGCCCGATGTCATTTGCAGCCAATTCACAAAATCCTAAGTCTATTTAGGGCAGACGATCCCTTTGAAACTGTAAACGCTTTAATGCATTTTTAGGAGCAAATTGAGGACTCAACTTTGGTATTTTGTCACTATTACTCCATGTTTTTCGAGCCTAACGTACACGTCTTCAAGCATTTTATCGGTAAACATTTACTAAGGGAAAGAAACGTGGTGGCCCTGAAAAGAGACTGATGACTATATTAATTGACATTCGAGGACACCGAACCTTGTTCGTAGGACTCATCGGCTTTTATGCTCCAAGGACACCCAACAAATTAACTCTTGAACTTAGGTAATTTACTTAGGAATTGGCTACGTCCTTCTGGATAACCACGGTTTAAAAATTCCTTTTCCTACCAGTAGATTCTCTTTGGGACTGACAGTTCATTACATTCAAAACTGTACAATAATATTGAAAGACATACATATTCTACCAATAGGCATAGAGAACAAATAAAATATTCTGAAGGGAGATCATCTGTGAACAAAAATAAAACATCAAGTGGTAAAGAAAAATGTGTATCTTTGAAATATTATCACATTAAATTTAACTTTCAGTACACAATGTCTTAACGATTTCAAATACTAGATCAACAATATATGGGGTCTTAAGCAATGATGCGCAACGCATAAGGTCAATATTATTGTCTCAATAGGCAACTGATTCGCAACAAAAATCAACAAAATCGTTCTTAATTATTACTAAGGAGAAAACAACAAATATATCACACACACAACTTATTGTCCACTTAAAACAATTAACACGAAACACATACGCGAAAGCGTTGATGGGTATTGTCGACTAACCTGTGTTCACAACAAAGCTGCTGGGCTCTAAACAGCCCGGGAAAAACGTGCTCTCGCGGGTCAACAATTAATTAGGCGTGCAACAGCTCCGTGGAAGTACAGAGATAAGGAACCCACAAAAAGAGAGGGAAAATAGAAGTCGATTTTCTTCCTACGCGTAGAAATAAATTTTTAAGCCAACTTATTGTCAAGGGATTCGTATTAACAGCGTTCAGACCCTAAGCACTTGAAAGTCTCTTGTATCCGATAAATGGTACGGAGTCTCCGTGCTGCTGATATGGAGGGATGTAATTCTGGGATATGATTTACACAGCGAAGCACCACATGGCTCGATGCAAGTGATATGCCACTAATGGGTAAAATAGGCACGGAGGGAAATCCGTTTAGTTGCCAAACCAGATACGCAGTTACGATAATAAATTTTCTACAGCAAAGCAGCAACACCGAACACGCCATTCGACGCGCGGGCATTGGACTCTCCAAACGCGCATAGCTTCGTCTTGAAAATCAGTTTACCACGGGGCGACTATGGTGCTTCTTCACACTTCATCTATTGGACTCTTGTTAGACCCGCCCTAGGGCAGCAAGCGCACTTCTACACAGTCTTGGCGGATATTGCTGAGGTGACTAGCTGGTGAATTCTAACTAATTTATTCTAACGCTTCATCGAAACCATCTTAAAATAACAAGTTATTGTCATTCAGAACTTTAAACCCACAAAATCCACTAATCTCAGAAAATAGGGACAACCATTAACATGTTTTAATAATCGTTTCATTATATAGAAGATTCAATATATCTACACACAAATAGCATCAATAACAATATGATAATCTCGATTCATTGCAAGTCTAAATGCTTAAGGGTATGTCCTTTTACTACGAATGAAGGCATCTGGCATGTTAGGCAGATGTTAGTACTGCGACTGCACACTGATAAAAGAGCCTAAACAAATAGAGTTAATGGTATTTTGTTATATTGACCTGATATGCACCTTTTAAATCATCAGCCAAAACGACTAAAACTATTTTTCTGTTGATTTGACGTAACATTTTTGAAAGAAGGTGGCCCTTTACCTTTTGATGCCCTGTTTCTATGTACTCTGGCCATTCGCAGTGAAAGAACGGGCCCATTTCACTTGCTTCAGATTGCCTCGTGATATGCTTTCAAAATTAAAATCTCATTCTGTTGTTCAACATTATTAATACAATAACAACAAACAACTGCCCTACAACACTTTCTAATATGGAATTGTACTCATCGAGGCAAAACGATTTCACGGTACAAGTATACATTATACAATAGGTTAACATATAAATAATTGCACAAGAACAACACATGTCCTGCACATAGAATATTCGAAGAAAAACAACTCTAACAACATATACATTTCAGTTGCAAACAGACGGCATCGAGGAACTAATCAGTATCCCAAATTAGCATGTAACCAACACACACGCCGATCAATTTTCTTTTAATCCGCCTCAACCACATAATAATGCGCAACTGTAGGTCACCTCAAGTAACTCGACGAACTGGCACCTGTAAATTGTTTGTTTTTCTCATAAGACGAATTTGCACTTTAGTTCTTGTTTATATGAAAAGTATCACAGATAGTATAATAAACTTTAGATTTAAGTATTTTAGTTACGTGTCATTCTTTAAAATCTCACGAAAATATTTCAATCTGTGTAGCTCCGATTAAGAGTCCCTTCCATGAGAGAAAGTCCTCGGGTGTTTATTTGTACATGTGGAACCAGTTAAGGAATAAAATTGCCGAACGTCATCGAACGTGTTACTTTGGCAGTGCTCGATCGCAAATGTGATGAATCAAATTTATTTTCCCGAGGCTTGTAGGAATCTAAAGTGCGAATTCGCTTCTACCCGCTCACCTAATCTCATTTTTTTTTTGCAAAACACGTCTTTGCTTTCATGTGCCTTCTCTCGTATTGATGCACATAGTTGGTCACCCTGGCTCCCTTGACCGAAGTTACTCAATTGACGTAAAGGCCCACTCAGTGCAAAAGCGACATTGCCGCGCCGCTGCCACGCGATTCTCAAAAAACCGTGATACTTTCTTTCACTATCCAGCTTAGACAATTTGGCAGACAGGGAACCGCCCACACTGGTGGAATTGAAGCATAAGTTTAGGCCAATCTCCGAGCGTATAGTCGTTGCTACGCTTAGCTCCTCACTCCGGTCCGCCCGACCATCCATATTTAAAAATTTCTTCTATACGCTTGACTTTAAGTGTAAAGTCATCAAACGTGGCAAGTGCAAAACTACGCCTCAGCTTTACCAGTGAAGTGAGGTGCAGGCATCCTGCCTTGCAGGGAAGCCAGCTAGCCCGAGAGTCAACTCAGCCTTGTGCGTGCAACGACACTCAACTAAAAGAACAAAGATTCAACAACAAGAACAACGACACAATTGTCTTACAATGACTAAATTCCTACTTCGATACGATTCTTTTTTTTTCTTTACAGAGAATGGATCTTTCATCATTCTAATGGTCTCACTGAAGCGACAGAAAAGGGACACTCCGCGTTAGCACCCACCGTCAATCATAAAAAAGGACAGCACTTGTCAAGGGAGTGGAAACATAAGCACCTCGCTAGAGAACCTCTACGTTAGGGGGTACATTCTAAAAATGTTTTTTTTTTGCAGGCTTCAGTTTGCAACCCTGCGTTGGTCTTCTTGGGGAGGCGCACAAACGTTTTCATCTGATGAAGCACACCATCGCACACAATGACTAGTCGATGAGTACATTGAATCAAGCATCTCCTTGTATTAGTGTGACGTCACACTCGTTAGACAATGTGCTGCAATCGCCTCCGAAACATTGACCGCCTTCAGATCACGACAGGCGCTACCTTCACAACGTGACGCCTGGAACGGGTTGATAAAAACAGCCCTGCGATGGACACTGTTATTTCAGTTGCAATACTTTTTTTTTGCAATATACAAATTTAGTGTTGCTTTTTATTTTACCGCCCAATAGAATTTTGATATAGTAAACTCGATGGGTCCCCATGCACGTCAAATTTTCCACCATCTTTCCAAGACCTTTCTGTCACCAATTTTTAAGGCTCGCCAAAATTCGCCAGATCACTGAGAATGAAAGAGTCATGATCATGACTAAAATTTTGGGTGAGGAATTCTTTATTACCCAAATTTGGGTGAGGAAATTTTCCTCGCCCAAATTTGAGTGAGGAAAGTTTCCTCACCCAAATTTGGGTCATAATACTATGGAGCTAGATAGGGAGCTGATACACCCTTCCTCACCCAAAATTGGGCGAAGAACCTTTTCTCGCCCAAATTGGGCGAGGAAACGTTCCTCGCCCAAATTTGGGTGAGAAAGTAAACCTCGCCCAAAATTGGGTATTGATCATGACTTTTTCATTCTCAGTGATACTGCAAGCACTAAAAGTGTTTCACCTCGGGGTGGGACAAATCGAGGAAATTGAGGAAATCGCAATCTCGCGTCTCGCAAAAAAAGTGTAGAACTGAATGTATCGCAAAATGAATAACAGTGTGCTTAACCCCGAGGCATAATGGGAAGAGACAAGAGGGGGAGGTGTGCCAAAAAAATATTACGCGATGGACAAGTTCAGTCCCGAGTCCCCCCCGGTGCCCTTTTCGGCACGGGTGGACCGGATGGTGTGCGTATCTCTACCGTAGGTTAGGATGTGTTCAATCACGTTGCAACCCTCGCCCGCAAGGGTCGCCAGTCGCCCCCAGTCTCCAAACTCGTTTTCGCAGTGCACCAAAACAAAGACGTCGCCGCCTCACTGCCGGGAAGGCCCTTCTCCCGCACGCTGCGCTGCCAAGTTTCCGGCATTGTCTCGAGTTTCCAAGAGGAAGCGGGGGCAGAGCTGCGTGCAAACGACTTTCTTGATCTTCCCGGGTCTTCTTGTCACTCCGAATCGAAAGACGGTACTGTTCGCACCCTGTACTGGTGGTAATTTGGTTTCGGCCGTGTTCGGGTTCTACCCCTAATTGAACGGCGATTCAGATGTTACCGCCATTGCAACGCCACACGTCTACACCGTGAAACCGAGTGTGGAGAACTCGGAATGCGGAGGTCTCCGCACCTGGAAGTGCAGAGTTTGCAGTCTCCACACTTCAACTGTCTGGCATTCGTACATGACAGCGCATTTACCGTGGGATTCCCTATGAAGATACGTTGTTCTGTCAGATGACCACTCAACTGTGACCCGTACTCTTCACGTCCAAAAGAGGAGCAGTACTCCGCACCAGGGAGCGAGGAGTTCTCCACACTCGGTTCGACGGTGCAGGGCGGCGGGGACAGGGCAGGGCGGTCACGCGGGAAGCGCGCTTAGGCGTCGTCGTCCTCCTCGTCGCTGGACGCGGCGCCGCCAGTGGGGCAGCACAGGCCCTCGCTGCCGTCCTCGCGGATGCAGAACAGCAGCGTCTCGGCGGTGGTCACCTCGTGCGGCAGGATGCCGTGGAACTCGCGCAGGTCGGCGGCCGGGAACCAGGCCTTCTCGCTGTCCTCGATGATGTGCAGGTCGAACATCCTGGCGACGCACACCACGGGGATCCAGAGCACGGACACGAGGATCAGGATGGCGATGAGCACCAGCGCCCACACTGGCCACTCGTGGCGCTCCGTCACGCCCTTCTCGGCCACCCAGGCCGCGTAGCCGGAGCCGTCCACCACGATCTGCACGATGGACGCCACCAGGATGCACAGCATGGCCAGCGGCGACAGGTACTTCCAGCAGATGAGCCAGTACAGGTGCGGCCGCGAGCCCGTCATCAGCTCGATGTCGTCGGCGAACCTGCAGACAGCAAAGATACACTGTTAGCAGAACCTTTTACACAGTGAACACTTGTAGCCAAGGATTGTGACGTCACGTTTGTTTTCACGTGAAAACGGCGATGTTAGTTTGAGCGTGACAAACGGTGAAAATTTAGTCAAACAAATGTGACACACCGCACCGCTTTGTCACACTACTTCGGGTGTGACACGCAATCAGTTGTCGAACTGTCACATTAAAACGAATGTGACACATTGTACCGAAGTACACCTGTCGTGTCACATCCAAACGAATGTGACATCCATGTACGGTCGTTTGATTGTAAATTTTCAGCGTTTGTCACGCTCAGACTAACATCGCTGTTTTCACGTGAAAACGAACGTGACGACACATTCCTTGGCTACCAGTGAAAACTCGACGAAGAACCGCTTCGTGATAGGAAGAAAATGAAGGCTTTGGCTTTGTAAAATCTACGAAGACATGCTGCGTATTTTGAAGCAAAATCTTTCGTAGTGCGAAGCGTTTTTTTCACCATACGAAGCAATTATACTGTACAACGCATTCAACTTTTTCGAAGTTATAAAGCAAAAATGATTCGTAGATTTTTTTAGTGCACCAGGACAAATTATTAATTAAACACTGCGAATGGACCGCCCACCATATCCGTCTGAAAGGCAGGAAAAAAAAAACAACAACACTTTGCCCCTGTAAGTAGGCAAAAAAGTTCAGGGAAGACCAGGACGTCAAAGCAGAATGTTCCGTTCTTAAAGAGCACTTCAAGGTAATTAAAAATGAACAAAAAGTTTCGTTGTCTGCCACTGTTATATTGCCCAAGTTACCGCAACGAAGGGGGTGGGCGTGAGTCAAGTCGGCCGACGCACCCTGCTTGCGGCGTAGGGCAGAGCGGGGAGGGTTGCGGGGGAGGGGGGGGAGAGAAATTGTCGCCGAAGCCAAGCCGCGGCGGGCGGCCAGCCAGGCTTGCAGTTGCAGCGACGGAACGCTAGCGAGCGGAGCGAACGCGCACGCAGTGAAATCGGGTCCCCTCCCAGAGATTCTTCTAACTCCCTGAGAGTACTAGCATGCTGACATGGTACCTATACTACTCTTGTTGTTTTTTATTTTTCTATATATGCATCATGTTTCAGCTGCTAAAAGGGCTACTTTATCCCCCCGCCCCTTAGCGCCCACAGTGAAAAAAAAGTCTAGTTACAGCAACCAGGATTTTGGTGCCAATTACCAGACAGTCTAATTGAATAGGAACCAACCAGGTATCTAGTCAGAAATACCAGACTGGCTAGTCGATCTGTGTCTAGTACGGTTACCAAAAAACAAACCATAGGCACCACGCCTACCTCTTGAGGCCGTACACGTAGGACACGGCGATGCACTCGAAGAAGGCGATGATGAGCAGCGGGAAGTTGCCGCTGAAGTTGTCGAAGAGCACGAACACGTAGCTGCCCGCGCCGTGCGCGAACGCCATGGAGATGATGCAGCAGGTGAGGCACAGCACGCCTGCGAACCAATCGACAGGCGTCATGGAACGGAGTGACGTCACTGTGAAACCATACACTGCAAAGCCGGTGGTAAGTTTACTTGCCACAGATTTGGCAAGCCGTTTTGAATGCCAAAAATTGGCACGCTTGGCCTCTAAATACCACCCAGCTTGCCAAAATTTGGCAAGCTTATGAAGATTGCCAAAGCTTGCCAAATTTTGGCATTCAAAACGGCTGGCCAAATTTGTGGCAAGCAAACTTACTACTGGCTTTGCAGTGTAAGTGTGGAGGACTGCACACTTGAACTGCGGAGGTGTGGAATTTACAGTATCCGCACTTGCAAGTGCAGAGTTTGCAGTCTGGACACTTTATGTGTGGAGTTCTCCACATTTGCAACGTGCCCAGAGACAGGGGCTCTGTGAGCTACTCCACAGTACCTTCACGTGTGGAGTTGTCGACACTTGGTTTTTTAGGGAGAAAACTACTCGCACTTGACATAAATTTTAAAAAGCAACAAAAAAAAAGCAACAAAAAAAACATTACTTTATAAATTTAACTCTATGCCATTCCCCACACAGTCTTGAATGAGTTAATGATAACGGTACATCGTGATGTCATCCGTGCGACGAATTATGAATGAATGTCATGTCAAATCGTGACTAAGAAGTCTCGCCAATTTTCGGCGTGACTGCTCTGTAATGCCATTTTTTCGGTATAACCTCTTCTACATAACCGACATTACAAAGGTCAGCTAAAATAAAGATATCGACGCCTCCCGGCAATAAGGCTCTAGAGTAACTCCACCCCAAGGTGGACCGAGATCTGGGATTGGGTCACGGATTCGGTTCAAACTTTGTGGGTTCAATAGGTACCACTAGGACCTATCAACCCTAAAAGGAAAGTTGGCTAGCTCAATTAGATCTTGAGATATTTGCATTTTTCTAAATTTGACTAATTTAGCGGAAAAATGTCGCTTTCTGATTTTTTATTGGTAAAAGTTGTTCGCTTAGTTCTGGCTTATGTTTCTTCTTTCTAGTCATAAAGAAAGAAGAAAAATGGTGGTAGGCCAAGATTTGTACGTTGTTTGGGTTTTGTCCTATTCGAGCAATTTTCCGAATTCATCGAAACTCTCATCCCCAAAATACTCCACCTTGGATTTGACCCTGGTACGTCTCATTTCACTTCTTTTACTCTAGTAAACAATTGCTATATAGTCCCTAGCACCAACAATTCCATATAAGCCAGAAAAATCAAACAAACATTTTTCAATTTTCTACTTTGACCTATTTTTGGCGCTTTTGTCAAGATTGGGGCTTCTACATGAGCTAGGGTGATAAGAAAGATCCTGCCTGCCCTCAATTAAGATAGTATCGACACAAACAAAGAGACCCAAACACAAGGTGCACAAAAAATTTTATAATGAAATTGTTTCGAGCAAATTTTTAAAGTTTACGAGGGGTGTGAGGAGTTTAAATCGGAGGAAAATGTAATGCTTCAGCCAAAAGTGGATTTGTGGTGCATTTGTTAGCTTTCTCCAGTGGGTGTGGCCCCCTTTTTAACCATGTGAGTGTTCCTCCTTGATAATCAGTGTTACAACCCTGATTTGGTATGGGGTTGTTGGACTTCCAATTTCAACGCATAAGCAAAGTAATGATCCATTTATTTAGGTTTGCAACATATATAACTTCAACCGCTTAGCCTCAATAACTGAGCCTGGTTCCATTTGGTTTGTAAATTTGAGACCAACCGGATGACTTAAGACTAAGGGGGCTCAGCTTACACGTTGCAAACAACCTAAATAAATGGATCATTACTTTGTTAATACGTTGAAATCGTAAGTCCAACAACCCCATACCATATCAGGGTTTTAACACTGGTTATCAAGGAGGAACACTCACATGGTTAAAAGGGAACCATACCTACTAGAGAAAGCTAACAAATGCACCACAAATCCACTTTTGGCTGAAGCATTACATTTTCCTCCGATTTAAATTCCTCACACCCCTCGTAAACTTTAAAAATTTGCTCGAAACAATTTCATTATAAATTTTTAGTGCACCTTGTGTTTGGGTCTCTTTGTTTGTGTCGATACTATCTTAATTGAGGGCAGGCAGGATCTTTCTTATGACCCTAGCTCATGTAGAAGCCCCAATCTTGACAAAAGCGCCAAAAATAGGTCAAAGTAGAAAATTGAAAAATGTGTGTTTGGATTTTTCTGGCTCATATGGAATTGTTGGTACTAGGAACTATATAGCAATTGTTTATTAGAGTAAAAGAAGTGAAATGAGACGTACCAGGGTCAAATCCAAGGTGGAGTATTTTGGGCATGAGAGTTTCGATGAATTCGACAAAATTGCTCGAATAGGACAAACCAAGCATCGTACAAATCTTGGCCTACCACCATTTTTCTTCTTTTTTTATGACTAGAAAGAAGAAACATGAGCCAGAACTAAGCGAACAACTTTTACCAATAAAAAATCAGAAAGCGACATTTTTCCGCTAAATTAGTCCAATTTAGAAAAATGCAAATATCTCAGGTTCTATTTGAGCTAGCCAACTTTCCTTTTAGGGTTAATAGGTCCTAGTGCTACCTATTGAACCCACAAAGTTTGAACTGAATCCGTGACCCAATCCCAGATCTCGGTCCACCTTGGGGTGGAGTTGCTCTCTATCTTTTTCGTACGTCTCTAAAAGGCTCTATCTTTTCCGCACGTCTCTAAAAGGCTCTATCTTTTTCGTACGCCTAAAAGGTTCTATCTTATTCAGGATTTGATTAGTTATTATAACTCTGTTTGGGATATTACTACCTTTTGATGGTTGAGAGTGAAAGCACATACCGTCATGAACCGAAATAAACCATCATGTTGATAACTAATCAAATCTTTAACTCTCAATATCTCAAAAGACTGCCTGAAAAGATAGAACCTTTTGGGCGTACGAAAAAGATAGAGCCTTTTAGAGACGTGCGAAAAAGATAGAGCCTTTTAGAGACGTACGAAAAAGATAGAGCCTTTTAGAGACGTACGGAAAAGATAGAGCCTTATTGACAGGAGGCGTCGTAATGTCTGAAAATTTTTCCTGAAGCTTCCGGTGTTTTAACCTGCTGATCACGAAAATGTCACCTAATTTGCCATCAAACCATAATATCCACTTAAATTTGGGGGATATCGGACAGTGTAGAGTTATTACAATTATTGGCTGAGCGATAGCGAAGCCCGTTACTCAGGTGGGTTTGAAAAGTTTTTCCTGTCTGCGTGTGTGCGTGCGTGCGTGTGTGTCCGCACTACTCCTCCTGAACGGCTCGGCCGATCTCGGTGAGATTTTGCACACTTTTTGGGTATGTCCTTGGCTCGGCACACGCGAAATTTCACCACCCTAGCTCAACTGGTTCAGTTTTTATAGCCAAAAAACACATAAAAAACGGCGAAAAATCGAGTTTTCCGTAGGCAGATCTCTTCTGTCTTAAAAAAAGGGGGGCCTGGGGGGCGGAGCCCCCCAGCCCCAACAAGTTAAAAAGTTCCAAGGGTCAAGATCGTGTTATTTGAAGATGAAGCAAGTCTATCTAGAATGAAGGGGGGTCCAGCCCCCCAGAAAGAAACAAGTTAGAAGTAACCGACGACAGACAAGCCATTGCCTGCCGAAGGCAGGCTAGCGCCGCAGGCCAAGGTAGGTACGCCAGGCGCGGATTGTAGGAACAGGCAGCGAGACATCGCGAAGCCTGTTACGACAAGACGCGGTCTGGCGTAATCCTACCTTGTTCCTGTTGTTACCGTCGTGCTATCAGGAAACTGAACATCAAAAGAAGTTTGAGACCGAAAACAATAGAGGTCCTTTGGCAACCTTCTAGCCCTTTCCTTACCTACTTTAATAAGGTCGACATACCTCATACTTAATAACCCTGCAAACTTCGGCCAGATAGACCGAGTCCTTTCGGAGAATTGATACACACGCCCACACAGGCAGACACAACTTTTCTTCCCCATTACTAGCTTTGCTACGGCTGAGCCAAAAATTTTCCCTAAAGAGTGTAGAAACCGTTAGAAACCGTTGCTGTGGCTTACGATGAAATTCATTTTATCGTTATTCATTGACGTTTGTGCGCATTCATTTTGGAATATATTAAGATGAAATTGATAACAATGTTTGTAAAACAAACAAAAAGGTTAATACGCTTATTAATGCGCACAAACGTCAACATGTTATCAAACAAAAACTCACTATGAGTCTGAGAGTGATTATTTGAATATGCTTTTGCTCCACAGGCTTCCAACAACCAATACAATTGCGAGCAAGACCAGGTGGCTTCTCTGCAAAAGTCGCTGTGGGCTTGCGTGGCACATCTGCCAACCACCCGCTTCCCCTACCCGAAGTGCCCGCAGTACGACTGCACCAAGGCGGAAGTCAACAGCTTCCAGAACGCCCTGGCCTGCAAGGCGGCCGACGACCCCGCCGCCGTGGCAGCCTGCCTCAGCATCCAGCACTGCGCCAAGATCCTCGACGCGGAAACCATCTCCGGGGTGCAAACTTGCGTCCAAAGTGCAGTCGCCAAGGGCCTTTGAGGTCTTTTGGAACCCCACGTCCTCACAGTAAAAACTCTTTGAAGAATCGCATTGTAATACGAAGAAAATGAAGGCAATTTAAAATCTGCGAAGGTATGCTTCGTATTATGAAGCAAAATCCTTCATAATACGAAACATGTCTTCGTAATACGAAGCAATTCTACAATGCCTTCATTTTCTTCGCAGCAACGAAGCGAATGCTTCGTAGGCTTTTCATGGGGTGCTTGGTCGCCTCGGTTTCAATAAAATGTTTTGATGACGAATTTGAAGTTATTTCCCCGAAATATTTCTTCTCTTCGTGTGCCTTTGACTGCACAGCGCAGAAGGTTACATCCAGGGCGTGCTACTTAAAATTTATTTGCGATTTTCGACAATTTATTTCGCTATTGGCTGGAAATAAAAAAGTTATGCATAGAATAACTACAATTCAAAATGAAATTTTAAATTTAAGTTATCCTGTGCATAACTTTTTTGTCTCTAGTCGTTTACGAGATATCGGGACTCAAAATCTCAATAAATGTTAAGTTAGCACGCCCTGCTCTACAAACTCAAGTGTGTACATAGTAGGAGTGTACATGCATGTACACTGCAGGCGGAGTGTACTACGTATGTACACACTTGAGATTGTAGAGTGGTTACATCCGCGTGTTCGGAGTGGGCTGCCAACCCCTCGGCCGGAAAATTACCCCCTTTAAGAATAACTGATTCCGAAACGGAACCAAGTCACTCCTCAAACAGCATTTCTGAGGCCGCGTCCAAGGCAGGTGGATTGCTGCTGCAGCGCCGAGTTTGTGGTTTCAACAGCACGAAAAGGGCGCCGCCGCGCCGGTCGCAGCGCTGCACGCCATGGACCGTTTTACGGATGGTCGTGCACTGGAAAATTTTCGGTCACCCAGTCGACGACAATTTCCAAGCCGATTTTCCCTACGAGAGTGTCATCAAAGCAAGTTATGCCCCATGGGCTACGTTTAGGAGCTGTGTTGAAAATGTCGTCACCAATTGTCACTATATTGACTGTGGCGAATTTGTCTTCCACTACCTTGTTGTTACAAAGTATCAACAAATTTTTACAGCGTACACTTTCAGACCTGTACGGACATTTTTCTCTCTTGCTTATAAAGTTTTTTGAAAAAACGCAAAATGTACTATTATCTCTTTAACTACACTGGTAAAACAAAGGCATAAAAATTACGCCCTTAAGGGCATAAATACTCTTTTACGCCCTTGCAAGGGCATAAATCGTTTATGCCCTTGTGAAGGGCGTAAATGGTATAGGAATTTCAAGCAAAATTTTAATGCCCTTCCCAAAGGCATTAACGATTTATGCCCTTTAAGGGCGTAAATCGTTTACGCCCTTTAAGGGCATAATTTTAATGCCTTTCTTTCACCAGTGTATGCACAATTCGAGGGGTCCTAATCAAAAGATCTTATCTGGGCGTTCCCCCTAAGACAATCTTATCTTAAACGCAGGTGAATTCCATTCTGTTTGTTTATTTGATACAGCTACACATCAATATAATTTCTGATTAATTCACTGAAGTGTGAAGATGAAAGATCAAAGAAACCAAAAGTGCATGTGGAAAAATATTCCGCTTACTTACTCTCGTACCCGTCCCTAATGGTCAAACTGAGTGAAATTCGCCTGCGTTTAGGATAAGATTGTCTTTAGGGGAACGCCTAGATAAGATCTTTTGAATAAGACCCCTCGAATTTTGATCGCTTTAAAGGTAAAATTGTCAATAGATCACGTAGAAAATGAAAAGTAGATAGCGAATGACAAAAATTCAGGTTTCATGAACTAAATACATTATACAATGAACAAAACAGTGCATAGCTAAAGAGGAAACAGTGACGTTGGCACAAAAAACTTTTTGGCAATAGGTAAAATGTCAATTCAAGCCTGAGAGTGTACCAAGCGGCCCGCGAGGACGGCATAGTAGTTACAGTCGTCATAGGGACACACAAAGAGACCGTTCGTGGCACGCCGGTGCAACCTCTATGTATAATTGAAGATTTGATTGGGTGGGAATCCCCAGATGTCACCAAAGACAAACACGACACGTCTCGTGCATGCTGTCAGGCATAATAATTGCTTCTGTCTGTCTGTCTCTCCGGCTTTCCACTTTTCCGCTTTTACAGCGACGTAGACTGACCGCATGGGCTGACCTCCCTGACCTGTCGTGTGTAGGTGGTTCGATCTGTCAACCGCCATCAAGCCAGACCAAAATTGAAATGGCAATATCCGTGTCCGTGGTGCTCTGTGACTCCAAACCGCAGACATCGACAGGGAATATGGATCCGTGGCGTTTTAGCAGAGAAACGCCACTGTTCAGTGGAGTGTTTGTGAAGGACAGTGCGAAATCCCTGCACTTAGTTTGACAGAGAAGGGTTCACTCGTGTAAATCTGGTCAGAATGTCAAAAACCTGTCTGAAAACCTGATCAAAATTCGCGCACATCTGAAAGCTGAACACATCTCCCGAAAGTCGCTAGAACTCAAACCGTCAATATCAGAGCAAGTTTTCAGAATTTCATTTTTCAGAGGTGCGCGAATTAATTTTGATCAGGATTTCAGACATGTTTCTGACATTCTGACAAAATTTACAAGTGTTGCCAACCTCTCACATCAAAATTGACGTGTCTTACATGAACTCACGTATTTCCACCAGACTGATAGAACTATCGTATCTCCCGGGCGCCAGTAGAACTACCGTACTCGGCCGGCGCCGATAGAAAAGACGTAATTCGGGAGATCTGGCAAGGCTATTGTATCGCTTTTTAGGCATGTTTCAAGGAGATTGAATTGAAAGGTTAACTGTGTGTTACAATTTTGAAAAATGAAAGGAAATATTATAAGTTGACAGTGACGTCAAACTCATTTCATTTTCCGAATTTTAGTGACACTTAACCTTTCAATTCAATCTCTTAAAAACAGGCCGAAAAAGCGATGCAATAGTCTTCCCAGATCTCCCGAATTACGTCTTTTCTATCGGTGCCGCCGGAGTACGGTAGTTCTACCGACGTCCGGGAGATACGATAGTTCTATCAGTCTGGTGGAGATACGTGAGTTCATGTAGGACACGTCGAAATCGAAAGAACGTAACAAAATTTACAATATAGCGAAAATGACGTCAGTCGGTACCCGAACCCGCGACTCACCGGTCAGAACCTCCTTGCGCAGGTTCGGGAACAGCTTCATGTCCACGATGGACGTGACGACGCCTTCCAGTGTGCCGAACTGCGAGTCGATGCCGAGCGTGAAGAGCATCAGGAAGAAGAGCACGGACCAGAACTGCGCCCCGGGGAACTGGTTGATGGCCTCGGTGAAGATGATGAAGGCCAGGCCCGTGCCCGCGGCCGACTGCAAACAAATCGACCACCGTTCATGGATTTTGCACTACACTGCGAATCTAAATGTATGCTTACCACGCACTAACAAATGCATCGGTACCTCCACTCTACAAACGCTCAGCATGCCGAGTCCTGCATGATGAGCTTTTGTAGATAGGAGGTACCGGCATAATTGCACTCTTAAAACCTTAAAAACAACAGAAGCTTGTTATGGCAAAGTATTTTGAGCATACATTGTGCTTTTAAACTAAACAGTTTGTACCTGATAAATGTTTCCAACACTTCGTCAGGTTTTAAGCGTGTGGTATAAACTGCGCGTGGTTGGCCCCTTAAGCTCTTCAGTTTCACCAGTGTGAGCGAAGCCAGATTGGTATGCCGAGACCCGTCCCGCAACACACGGGTGTGTTACGGGACGAGTCCGTGGCCTACCTCGCAGGCGCTACAGAGCAGTTCCAATGGTAAAACGAGGGCCGAACACGACGCCCATCAAGCGTACAGTCTGTACGCCCTACTCGCCAGTGCAGTGCCGCGCCTCCGAGGCAGGCAACCCAACCTACAGCGTGCTGAGTGAAAGTAGGCGGGAACGAGAGTGAGAGGGTCGTGCAGTACGTTGGGTTGCCTGCGCGCGAGGGGCACCCTGAGGAGGCAGCGATCGCTGCTCTTCGGCCGCCCAGTGGGCCAGAAGCCCGGAGGGGGCGGCCAAAACTCTAGTCGCGTTTTTAAGCCCAGGATCGCTAGCCAGGACTTGGAAACTGAGCGTGTGACCGCCACCCAATGGATGACTCGTTCGGAGAGCAATCCGTTGGTGGGGTCACACGTTCGGTTCGAGTCCCACTTAGGGACTCTGCAGCTCAAAACGCGTCTACCATTTCGGCCGCCTCCACCGGGCTTCTGGCCCACTGTGCGGCACCCGCCCCCCGGGCGGCGGCGCAACTTTTTGCTCGCCAAGGTCGCAGCGTCTGAAGGCGCGTCGCCCACAGCTGCTGTCGCCACGGCAAGTTTCACCGGCACTCGCCAAACTTGTCGCGCCAGAGTGATTGCGCTGTATAAGCAAGGCATTTTGCTCGTGTTGGAAGACTTCGCCGGGGAAACAGTGGCGGCGCCCGAGACGCGGCGGAAACACCGCCAAAAATACAACCTCCGGTCGCCGGGGGGAATTGATTTTGCTTCCGGAGGAGCAAAAAGACAAAACAAAAGCAAAAAAAAAAAAAAAATTTTGCTCCCTGCTGTGATTTTCTCGTTTTAAAAGACTTTGCTGTCGTGATGGTCGTGTCGCTGTTGTCCGGGCGCTGTTTATCCGACATCAAGTTGAGTTGCACGCGGTAAAAAGACAACGAAGCGATCGCTTCGGAATATGAAAAAAACGAAGGCGTGAACATACTTCATATAATGAAGCAAAATCCTTCGCAAAACGAAGCAGTTCCACAATGCCCGCCTTTTTTTCGTCGTTACGTAGCGGAAGCTTCGTCAACTTTCGACGGTATGGCAAACAAGTGGTATTTTGGAGAAACTTTTTGTTCGCTGCTCCAAAAACCGTGATTCCAAGCGCTCAAAACAATGCAGTACGGTCTCGAGTACAGTGCGATGCTTTGAGACATCGCACCTGACGTGCGACGCGTCCCGAATAACTCCAATGCCGATGCATGGGAAGGCATCGCACATCAGGTGGAAGGTGCAAAAGCAATGCACCAATCATCGTTGCGATGCAAACGGGGTACAAAGCATGGCGCTGACCAATCGACGCCATCGATTCTCAGTGAAGCCAATTGAATAACTGATGCACGAATCCTCGCGTGCAGACAGATTCCGAGAGTCGTTTTCGTCACTCTGTCTCGCTCACACTGATTGAGACTCATCATTGAGTGTCCCGTAAAGGTATGAGAGGGCGAGAGAGAGAGAGAGAGAGAGAGAGAGAGAGAGAGAGAGAGAGAGAGAGAGAGAGAGAGCGGAGAGAGAGAGGAGAGAGGAGAGGAGGAGAGAGAGAGAGAGAGAGAGAGAGAGAGAGAGAGAGAGCAAAACGACTCCCAGAATTATTGTCGGTCCACTGGAAGGCTAGGCCCTAGCCATCCCTTGCTAGGCCCTAGCCGCTAGGGCCTAGGGCTGGGAAGTGTAACGTATGAACGGAGAGCCTCACGTTGTCCAGCTCCTTCTGCAGGTCGCACTCCGGCATGTCCGGCAGCACGGCGCTCATGGCGGTGGTGAAGCTGGAGGACGCGCTGGAGGCCGCGCTGGAGGCCGCGTTCCACGCCGCCACCGTCGCGTTGCGCAGCTCCAGGCACTTCTCGTAGCTCATGGTGGCCTGGGGGACACGCTCAGTTAGCGGTCTTGCTGGACACACACTGTGCAGTGTGCACTCCACACTCCACACTTGAAATGCACCGGTGTGGAAGTTGCAGTCTCCGCACTTGGAAGTGCAGTTTGCAGTCTCAATCAACACTTCAAGTGTGGAGTTCTCCACGTTATCAACATGCCAAGAGATAGGAGCTCCACACCTGGAGTGTGGAGACTGCAAACTCCACGCGTACAGGAGTGGAAAAGTAATCCGCACCAGGAAGTGAGGTCTCCACACTTGGGTTCGAGGGGTCCCCTTCAAAAGATCTTATCTGGGCGTTCCCCCCAAGAGAATCTTATCTTAAACGCAGGTGAATTTCACTCAGTTTGATCACTTGATACAGCTACCAACGGCTACCAATCAATGTAATTTGTGATTTAATGCACTTAAACCTGAAGATAAAAGACCAAAGAAACCAATAGTGCATGTAGAAATATATTCTGCTTCCTCTCGTATCCATCCTCAACAATCAAACTGAGAGAAACTCGCCTGAATTTAAGATAAGATTCTCTTGGGGGGAACGCCCAGATAAGATCTTTTGAACAGGACCCCTCCAGTTTGACAGTGTCCTCCCTCTGCCTGGCCGGGCCATGTCTCGGTGGCCCCTTACGTCAACATCCGAATCCGCTTATCTCGCAGCGCTACGGACCCCCGTCTGGATAGCGGCGGAATCGCGGCGGAGTGGAGGATGAGGCCCGAGGGCACTCGGCCTCTCCACGCATCAGGCACACGCGCAGAACTCTGCTCTTGTGGGGATTTGCAAACTCTGCACTTCCAAGGGTGCGGACTGCACATTCTATGCCTCCGAATATCAAGCGTGGAGCTCCGTAGGGTAAACTATACAGTTATCGGCAGGGGTACAGTTATCGTCATCTCGGCGAATGATTGGGTCCTGCTCTGCAAGTACGCGTCCGTTAGTGATGCGGCCAATGCAGGTCGCTAGAGACACCTTTTGAGCATGCAGGACCGAGACAGCATCGCGTTTGATTGAGCATGTCAGCCAACAGAGCCACGTTTCTAGTCAAGTGCAGAATGAGGCCGCTTCGGCCACCCGTTCCTATCTTCTATGATAAGAACAGGGGTTCAATCTTTCGTTAAATTCGTGAATGTGGGCCGGCAGAAACTATTCTCTTTGCCAGGTTCCTTCTCCTCATCTATTGAAGAGGGCATACTGTGCTTGGTGCACAGAAATTCCTCTTGCTTGCCCTCATTCGGGGGGTGCCGATAACTGCACCAGAGAAATCACCGCAAACACGGTTATCGTCAGGGTGGCCTCAAACTTCACTGGTGTTTCCGGCGTCGTCCGGGAGTTAATATTCTGATGCATTATGACCGTAGGAAGACCCCTGCCAAATTTGAATGAAATCGGACCACTTTTTCCCAGTGATCTACGTGATTTAGGAAATGTCCTCCTCGGCGCTTTGAAAGGTTGTCTTTTTCGCAGCTCATGGTGCTAGTTGTCCGTTCGTCTAAAATGAAGGGCGCAAGAGGCATAACAGAAGGGAGAGGGGGTTCGTGACATGCTGAGGGGTGATATAGAGTGTCTGTGACGACTGTTAGAAATTTTCGTCACTTTCGGTCATGTTTTGCCTTTTTGGCGAGCGATAGCGAGCCCCGAGGGGGAAAGCACTCGCGTAATAGTCGGGTCACTCTGTCCGTAATAGCACGCGTAATAGTGTGCGTAATAGTAGCGTAATAGCTGAAATTCTCAAAATTTGATTTATTTTAGGGGTTTTTTGGTCTGTTTTCAGCTAAATCGCTATATTTGGAGGCGTAATGGAGCGTTATAGGCGTAATAGTCGGGTCGCAGGTTTTAGGAGTGATTTCCCCCTCGGCGAGCCCATGCCGTGTTTGGGGGTACCAAAAAGTGACTGGTCGTGCGTCTGTCTGTCTGTCTGTCTGTCTGTAACTCACTCACGTTTCTCAGCAACTACCGCACAAATAGTTTCAAAATTTCGCACCGGAAGGCTCCTAAATCTCCCCCAGGGGGAGTTTATCTTATATTCACGATTACTATTGTTTGAAATATTCAAAACATCTTTTTGAATTAGGTTCTTAGCGTGGTTAGGTTGGCAGTGGTTGGCAGCTCGTAGCAATTTTTCATACTTGCGGCCGCGACTCTCAAATACGGGACCTGGCAAAACATTGGCAAATAAAACAAACTAAAGAGCAGAAGGGCTTAGAAGTGAGTACGGTCATAGTTTTTCGATATTTTAGAATGATTGAAACCCCTCCGGAGTGTCAACTCAGTGAAATACGGAAAATGAAAGTGACAATTATTACGCGTTTCGTCCGTCCATCCACCCCCTCCCCTCCCCAGCTACAGGGGAAATGTTTTAGTCAGTGGAGTGTGTTTGATAATTGCAAGAATGATTTGGTCTTTTTAACCTTTGTGAGTGTATTTCCATTTATATTCTCAGACACTATATTTTTTAGTTGTTTGCTTTCCTCAATTACAAGTTAGAAAATATATTAATACATTCTATGAGTACAAACCAGATGCTAATCTTGCCAAAATAAATAGTCTTTGCTGACTCCTGGCACTGATTCTGGGAAAAGGCTTCATTGCAATGCTGTGAGTTTACTATAGTACTAACCTTAAAGAAAACCATATGATGAGTGAGTGTAGCGCATTCAAGGTTTGACATTGACATCAGATTCAATGAGACGATTCACTGACTTGGTCATATGATTTCATGTGACGATTCTTTTAACTTAATCATACATTGTCTGCGACAACTGGTAATTTGTGTTGGTCATGGTTTGAGTTGGCTTTTTTTTTTATTTACTCAGAATGTTAGGTAAATACTTTTGCTAAACTGTTTCAAAGATTAAATAACACACCATGACTATCATTATGAATAAGCTAAACTTGCGTTTAGCAATAAGTGGCCTCGACATTGGATTCTATGAAACGATTCATTGGATCTGACAGAAGGTCTTCTCCGTAAAGTAGTTGAAATCAGCCTGCCTGTAAATATGTCTCTTTTTAATTAATGCAGATAAATCAATATAGTTTAATCCACTAGTTTAAACTAAAAGGGAGAAAGGCTTTTTAGGTATTACTAATATTATTGCGTATTCATAAGTTCAGTAACAAGGAGATATCGAATGGTAAATGAAATATTTGTGAATCGTATTAAGCAATTCAATGCTGGCTGTTAAATGTTACTCGACTGAGTAACAGGGTCAGGGTTCATGGCATGACACCATGAACAGGAAACGCTCTTAAAAAACCTAACAACTGAAGACCCATACTTTCAACTAGAATTACATGATTTAGGACCAAAATTTCCTCGGTGTTTCATTGCTTCCTGCAGTATTTGGTGTGCTGATCACAAAAATGACTTCCAATTTCATCCCAGACCTTTACTTTTCCAAATATTTACCAATTTTGGACCAAAATTTTTGCATCGAGTTTTACATAGTTTCCTGCAGTTTTTGGTGTGCTGATCACGAAAATGACTTCCAATTTCATCTCAGACCTTTACTTTTCCAAATATTTACCAATTTCGGACCAAAATTTTTACATCGAGTTTTACATAGTTTCCTGCAGTTTTTGGTGTGCTGATCACGAAAATGACTTCCAATTTCATCTCAGACCTTTACTTTTCCAAATATTTACCAATTTCCGACCAAAATTTTTACATCGAGTTTTACATACTCTACAAATCAAAGAGTGTACATGGTACGCTCTAACTGGAGCATGCCTGCAAGCACGCTCTAACTAGCGCATGCCTGCCAAGCATGCACTAACTAGTGCATACATGCCATGTACACGATAACTGAACCGTACATTTACTGCATAAGGGATAGGGAGTTTTCTGCATCAGGAAGCGTGTACATGGCATGTATGCACTAGTTAGTGCATGCTTGGCAGGCATGCGCTAGCTAGAGCGTGCTTGCAGGCATGCTCCAGTTAGAGCATACCATGTACACTCTTTGATTTGTAGAGTAGTTTCCTGCAGTTTTTGGTGTGCTGATCACGAAAATGACTTCCAATTTCATCCCAGGCCTTTACTTTCCCCAAAATTTACCAATTTGTGACCAAACTTTTAAAATTGAGTTTCACATTGACCCTGTATTGGCCTTACTTTGCATATATATTCTTCACCATCTTCTACAAGAATACAGACGCATCGCTCGCCTACTACGCGCCCAAACAAAACGGCGCGTACCCCTAGTTAACAAGGGGTGCCGATAACTGTCTTAAAGGGTGCCGATAACTGTATTTTGGCTTCCGGTAACTGTGTTTTTGGTAACCTTTTTCTCACGTTAAATAAGAGCGTCACAAAAAGTTTTTGGTGAAATCTTTGTCAGCCACTTCGTTGTCTAGATCCTTCTGAGGTGTCTGAAACAAGTCGCACGGGTCTTAGTTTCATAACCTACCCTAGAGGCCCTTGAAAAGAAAGCGATGCTCTTAAACTGACGGTAACTGTATAGTTTACCCTACACTTGGTTTTACATTGCCAGCGGTGGAGGCAGGTGACTGATACTCTAGACGCGTTTTGAGCTCCAGAGTCGCTAAACAGGACTCGGACCGAGCTTGTGACCCCACCAATGGATTCCCCTTTCAGAGCACAATCCATTGGTGGGGTCACACGTTCGGTCCGGTCCAAGTCCCATTTGGCGACTCTGGAGCTCAAAACGCGTCCGGGATTTTGACCACCTCCACCGGTCTTCTGGCAAATCCACTGCATACCTTGAAGCCGATGACGGAGAAGACGACGATGCCGGCGAACATGGACGTAAGGCAGTTGGTGAGCGACACCATGATGGCGTCGCGCGAGCAGTTGTTGTTGACGGGGTTGTAGGAGGAGAAGGCGATGAGGCCGCCGAAGGCCAGCCCCAGCGAGAAGAAGATCTGAGTGCCCGCCTCCAGCCACACCACCGGGTCCGAGAGCGTGTGCCACTGCGAGCCGAGAAGACGTCGTTTCACTTCACCAACTATCAAAGTCAACTAAAACCATCACCACAATTCACTCAAAAGTAGAAAGAAAGTCATTTAAAAACTGTCATCAAAGTCACCCAAACATTGTTATCAAAGTTATTGTTATCAAGGTTTAAACCTATCATGAAAATCAACTACAAACTGTCATCAAGACCAGGGAAAGACTGTCATCAAAATCAAGAAATAATATGATAAAAACCTACCAGAAACCATTTAAATCGACTGAAAACTTTCATCAAAATCAACTGAAAACTTTCATCAAAATCAACTAGGAAATTGTCCTAATCAACTACAAACTTTTCTAGATGAAACAAGAACTATCATCAAAATTACTGAAGAACTACCATTAGCATCGAAAAACTATTGAAATTCAACTAAAAACTGTCAAAATTAATGCAAGACTATCAAAATTAGCCAAACACTAAAATCAAAGTCGACTAAACAACACCGAAGTCAACAAAAAATCTTGTGGGCACGGTTTCACCTTCCCGGACCGAGAAGAGGAGGCAGGCTGTTTACACTGCAAACCTAACTGTCTACTTAGTACACACTTACAAATGCGTGCTTGCAAGTACACACTTACAAACGCATGCTTGGCCAAGTACACACTTACAAATGCATGCTTGCAAGTACACACTTACAAACGCATGCTTGACGCCGTATAACTCCATGCGTCAAGCATGCGTTTGTAAGTGTGTACTTGCAAGCATGCATTTGTAAGTGTGTACTTGGCCAAGCATGCGTTTGTAAGTGTGTACTTGCAAGCACGCATTTGTAAGTGTGTACTTAGTAGACAGTTAGGTTTGTAGTGTATCCTCTCACCTTGGGGGTGAACAAGTGTCGCAGCCCGTCCGTGCAGCCCTTGAGCGTGATGCCCCGGAAGAAGAAGATAATAAGCACCAGGTAGGGGAAGGTCGCCGTCACGTACACCACCTGCAAAGGAGGGGAGGGTGAGCACTCTGGGGAAAGACTTTGTCGAGCGGATCGAATCCGTTCGAATCGAAAAGTTCGATGCCTGCAACAACTGGAAGGTGGGTTGCTACGACCAGACACTCTAATGACAAAAAAAAAGAACTTTACTAAACAGACTTTGGCGCTCTCCAAGGGCTTAATGACTGAATGCCTCCGGATGGGCTTTAAAATTTTGCCTTTGCCTGAAGGTCCTATACTTACTTACTCACGCCCGCTCGCAAGGGCATGAGCCGATTCACGCCGTTCCAAAAGCGTAAATCGTTGACGGCCTGTTTCAGTGCCTTCCTTTTACCAGTGTTACGGTCGTGGCTACCAGTTTTGGTTGAAGTGAGGCGCACTTTCGGTTACAGCCAACGACTTAAGCGAATCAATTAGAGTTTAGTCGATTATTTACATATTTTTTCCGTGGGAAGGGAAAGGGAGATCACCGTCGCACGAGCTTATAGACCACACCTGGGACATGTCACACGCGTGGAGGAAAGAATGCTTGTCGCTTTCGGTATCCAGATCAGCCCGTGGCGACGAGGAGAGAGGGGAGAGGTGACAGGGGGGGTGCAAAATAGTGAAAAAATGCCTTTGTACGGTCGCAAAGTATGTGAATGACCGAGACTCGACGACGACTAGCATCGGCGCTCGCCTCTAGGGGCAAAAGGAGAGAGAAAAGAGGGAGGGGGAAGGGGAGGGGCACTGAGGGGCATGGGGAAAGGGGCGAGGGGATTTCCCGCGCCGCCGCCGTCCCCCTGTCACCGTGGACCCGCGCCATGTCGGCACGTCGCCTGTTTGCGGAACGCGCAGACGGCGATTCAATCGTCCCGCGGGGATGAGACGGGGAAAAACCGAGGGGATAACGACTTCGGGAATCCGGCTGACAGCAAAGTGGGAGGTAGTCCGGGGTAATCCGGGGTAATCCAGGAATTTTTTGGTTGTAATCCGGAGGTAATTTGGGGATAATCCGGGGTAATCCGGGGTAATCCAGGAATTTTTTGGTTGTAATCCGGAGGTAATTTGGGGATAGTCCGGGGTAATCCGGGGTAATCCGTAATCCAGCTGACACGAAATTTACCAGTCGTTACCCCCTCGGGAAAAACAGAGGCCCAATGGGAGGGTGTGGGGGCGGACAGAGACAGAGAACGGCGCACAGTGGGCCAGAAGACTGGTGGAGGCGGCCAAAATTCTAGACGCGTTTTGAGCTCCAGAGTCGCTAAATGGGACTCGAACCAAACGTGTGACCCCACCAATGGATTCCTCGTGCGGAGAGCAATCCATTGGTGGGGTCACACGTTCGGTTGGAGCCCCATTTAGTGACTGTAGCTCAAAACGTGTCCGGGATTTTGGCCGCCTCCACCGGTCTTCTGACCCACTGTGCGGCGTCGCCGCACCGCCGCCACCGCGCCCCGGACATAACACGAATAATTAGCAATCCGTCTTTTTGGAACGAAAGGATTTTCCATTGGCGCGCCGCGGCGGCCAGTTCTTTTATTGTGAAGCCAAGTTTGGACAACTCCACACTTCCTGTTGCGGAGTCCGCACTTCCTGTTGCGGAGTTTTTCTCTACACTGGACGTGTGGCGTTTGCAGTCTCCACGACTTGGAGTCAGGAGTAGGCAGTGGCGTGTGAAAATGGGGTTCCCTTTGGCCACTAGACAGCCACCTGGAAGGTAGGCAAATCGCGTCACATTCCCCCAGTAAGTAGGCAAAAAGCATGGCCTGACCCACCCCCTCCTCTTTTCAAAATTTCTGCGCACGCCACTGGGAGTAGGTCATGAAGCCCCGGTCTCTGGACATGGTGAAAACGTGGAGACCGCAAACTATGTTCTCGTTCGAGCAGATTTTGGAGTGCGGAGCTCTCCGCAGCTCGTTTCACAGAGCACGAGCCAGGCCGCGACAATGCGCTTTGTTTACATCGGATTGAAAGTAAATATGACTCTGTTTGTCGTGGCAGTATTGAAAATGGCGCGGAGCCAACGCGAGCTCGCATCTCTGGCGCCGAAACTCTGGCGCACCCTCACTGTGAAACAAGGTGTGGCGGACTAGCACACTCGAAACACGGAGGCGAAGAATTCGCGGACTCCGCACTTGGAAGATCTTCCAAAGGCGGAGAGTCTACAAATTCCACACCTCCGCATTTCAAGTGTGGCGTTCTTGGTTGTTTGGCGGGGCAGCTCACCTTCCCGGACGAGGCGATGCCCTTGATCATGCACATGTAGACCAGGATCCAGGCGATGACCAGTGCGATGCCGATCTTCCAGTTGAAGGCGTTGGGGCTGTTGATGTCCTCCGACACCATGAGCGTCGTGCGGTACCAGAAGTACTGCGTGGGGGTGGACGTCTGTTGGACAGAGGGTGTGTGAGAGTGAGTGAGAGAGAGAGAGAGAGAGAGAGAGAGAGAGGAGGAGAGAGAGAGGAGAGAGAGAGAGACAGAGAGAGAGACAGAGAGAGAGCGGAGAGAGAGAGAGAGAGAGAGAGAGAGAGAGAGAGAGAGAGAGAGAGAGAGAGAGAGAGAGAGAGAGGGAGAGAGAGAGAGAGAGCGGAGAGAGAGAGAGAGAGACAGAGAGAGAGACAGAGAGAGAGACAGAGAGAGAGAGAGAGGGCGAGATTCGTTGCGAATGGACGAAGGTTCCCTCGGCAATATATTTTTCAGAGGTACCTTCGTAAATGCCATAGATTTATTTTTGCAGTATGCGGTGAAAAGACCAACATGGATTCTGGTGGCAATCATGGTTCATTTCTTAGAGAGCCCGCCCCGTACCGCAATGGTCGGAGAATGGATTGATGGTTTCGGGTAAAGCTAGCACTCTGCGAACACGCTGCTTTCAGGGCTCAACTCGCGGCCCAGACCTCTCCCCACCTCCCTTTCCCCCGAAACCGCAAGCGGCCCATTCACTTGCCCGTCGTTGGCCGATTGGAGTCCCTGCAGCCTGACGTCCAGAGCGAGGTCTCGCCGGGTCTGTCTCTCCTGGTCTCTCTCACGGGGTGCCCAGACGGGATGCCCCACGAGAGCGAGATAGACACCTCCAACTCCCTTTCAGCCCACCCTATACACGTTGAAACCAATGTGAAGTCACATTCCCCGCGCCTGCCCGTGCGCACGCCCCCGGCTAGGCTCGCCGGCTCGCCGCCGGTGGCCCCCGGCACGCGGCGCCGCCGCGTGGGCTTCCATCGCAAGCTTTAGTGTCGATGAACTGGCAGGCCGTCGCGTCCGTGCCGGCCTGCTCTGTCTCTCTCGCACCTACACGCGACGCCCCCCTGAGTGCGAGAGAGACGTAGCGACGAAGACGACTCTCGGAATCTGTCTGCTCTCGACGAGCCAAGCAAGTCTGTCTGCTCTCGACCAGTCCCAATACGCCACGCCACTCGTTGCCGGCGAGGAGGAGAGAGAGAGAGAGAGAGAGAGAGAGAGAGAGAGAGAGAGAGAGAGAGAGAGAGAGAGAGAGAGAGAAAGAGAGAGAGAGAGAGAGAGAGAGAGAGAGAGAGAGAGAGAGAGGGAGATAGATAGATACACTGAGAATGAATTGGTCACCACCATCACCCTTTAAATGGGTGATGCAACTTCGTTGCCCAAATTTTGGTGACGAAAAATTCATCACCCGAAATTTGGTAACAGGCGTTTGGTCGCCCAAATTTGGGTAACGCCGTCGGCGACGCCGTGAGGTTCCCGATGGCGTCCTTCCGGGGCCACCACGATGGCCGGAGGCCTCAACGCCACATTGGGTCATCGTGGTGGCCCCGGAAGAGCGTCATCGGGGACCTAACGGCGTCGCCGACGGCGTTACCCAAATTTGGGCGACGATTTTATGACTGCCCAAAATTTGGTCACCGCGGGCTCGTCACCCAAATTTGGGCAACGGTGCGTGCGTTACCCAATGAAAGGGTGATGGTGGTGACTCTTTCATTCTCAGTGTAGAGAAAGAGAGAGACGGACGGACGGACAGACAGAGACAGACAGACAAACAGAGAGAGAGGGAGAAAGGCATATCGGCTGCCAGGACTTACCACGCATTCCGGCTCCAGAACGTAGGATCCATTCGGGAAGTACTTTTGAGGGCACTCTGCCCACGGCAGTTGGGATTGGAAACTCTGGCGGAAACAAACACAAAAGGAATTATTCATTGTCGGGATACTTTGAAGGATGGATTGCGAAAACTTTTTACGGAAAACGATTACACCGACTGGCGCCGTATAAGCTCGGAGCCCTAGGTTTCTCAGTGCAGTCACCTGGGCGAAGTAGAAGAGGCACCAGGCGATGATGGTGTTGTAGTACAACGCCACGTTGAAGGACACGACGGCCGAGGCGATGCCGATGCCGCCCAGGCGCGGAGACACCTGTGTGGCATTCGTAACAGTGTATCTACCGTGGCACACTAAACATTTTTGTACAAATTTTGTACGAGACATCACAGTTTTTTGTGCACACGAACTTTTCGTACAAATTTGTACAAAATTTTGTACAATTTTGTACAAAAATGGCGAAAAATGTGCATATTTTCGTACGAAAATTGTACGAAAATTTCGTGTGCACAAAAAACTATGATGTCTCGTACAAAATTGTACATAACAGTTAGTGTGGGGATTCCCAATGGAGATAGGTTATGTTCTGTTAGATGATCGCTCACCTGGTTCCACACGCCGATGGCGCCCTTGCGGAGGCGCTGCCCGATGGCCAGCTCCAGGTAGAAGATGGGGATGCCCTCGATGCACAGCATGATGAAGTAGGGGATGAGGAAGGCCCCTGGGAACAGAAAGAATGCAGGGTAAAAAAGTTGTGACATTCGTACACAACAGCATGGGATTGCTTGTGAAGCCTGTGAAGATACGTTGTCCTGTCAGATGATCACTCAAATGGTTTTTCCAGGATCTTCCTAAAAATCACGTACGGCTCTACTTTCGACATCCGTTGAGGGAACCGGAAACCCTTTTTACCGTGTGCACTGTGAAGTGTGAAATGCGAAAGTGGGGACTTCGCAGTCGCCGCACTTGGAAGTGCAGAGTTTTGCAGTCTCCACACTTCCAGTGTGGGAGTTCTCCGCGTCTGCACCTTGCCTAGAGACAGGGGCTCTGTTGGCCACTCCACACTTGAAGTGGAGGCTGTGAACTCCACGCGCCTAAGTGTCGAGAATTATTGCGCTCACTGTTATTCAACGAATGTGACGTCACATTCGTTGAATAACAGTGCATCAGGAAGTGTGGGGTCCTCGACAGTGCGGGCAGGACGGACTCCGGATGTCGTTTTCGCCGCCCTGTCTCTCTTGCACCTGCACGGGACGCCCCGCGAGTGTGAGAGGTACGGACCGACGAAAACGCCTCTCGGAATCAGTCTCAAGCGCGGGTCCGGGGGGGGGGGATATATATATATATATATATATATATATATATATATATTATATATAATATAAAATATATATATATATATATGATTATATATATATATAAGAAGAGAGAGGGGAGAGAGAGAGAGAGAGAGAGAGAGAGAGAGAGAGAGAGGAGAGAGAGAGAGAGAGAGAGAGAGAGAGAGAGAGAGAGAAAGAGAGAGAGAGAGAGAGAAAGAACAATTGCCCTCCCCCCTAGATAGCCGCCTGAAAGGTAGGAAAAAAGCACCACATTGCCCCTGTAAGTAGGCAAAAAGTGCTACTTTGACGCCCCCCTTTGGGCCGACTCTGGATCCGCCACTGATCAGTCTGCAGGAATGCCTGGCCAGGCCGACGGGCGGGGGCGCCTCGCGAGGCCTGTCAGTCTTCCGGACTCTTTGAACGGCAGGGCGGGGGAGGCGCAGATGACGTTCTCTGCACTGCGTCTGACGGCCCAGCGGTGGAGGCCGACGTTTCCCCCGGCCGGCCGGACAGGCCGACGGGCCGACGGCGGGGGCCTGCTGCAGGCCGGGCACTCTCATTTCAGAAACGTGACAACACGTTAAAACGAAAGTAGCGAAATGTCACCTGTCCTTTCCACGGATGCCACATTCGTTTTAAAGTAAAACAGCGATGAGTTATAGCGTTGTGCCACACTCCAACAAATGAGACGTGATGCTTAATAAGGCACGTGACATCTTGTCACGTTCGTTTCAACACGATGTCCGACGATGTCTCGTTTCTGGAGTGAGAGTATGAAACAGGCCGGCCCGTCTGGCACCCGTTGAGCGCTCTGCAAGACTGGCCTTACAGTGGGCAAGAAGACCGGCGGAACTCGAACCGAACGTGTGACCCCACCTATGGGAGAGAGAGAGAGAGAGAGAGAGAGAGAGAGAGAGAGAGAGAGAGAGAGAGAGAGAGAGAGAGAGAGAGAGAGAGAGAGAGAGAGAGAGACAGACAGGCAGACAGACAGACAGACAGACAGACAGACAGACAAACAGACAGACAGACAGACAGACAGACAGACAGACAGGCAGACAGACAGACACACTAAATATTTTTGTACAAATTTTGATCGAGACATCACAGTTTTTTTTTGTGCACACGCACTTTTCGTACAAATTTGTACAAAATTTTGTAAAATTTTGTGCAAAAATTGCGAAAAATGTGCAGTTTTACATTGAAAAATTGTACGAAAATTTCGTGTGCACCAAAAACTGTGATGTCTCGTACAAAATTGTGCATAACATTTAGTGTGGACAGACAGAGACACAGACAGACGGACAGACAAACAGACAGACAGACAGACAGACAGACAAACAGACAGACAGACTGACAGACTGACAGACTGACAGACAAACAGACAGACAGACAGACAGACAGGTAGACTGACAGACTGACAGACAGGCAGACAGACAGACGGACGGACAGAAAGACAGACTGACAGACTGACAGACAGACAGACGGACGGACAGACGGACGGACAGAAAGACAGACCGACAGACGCACTGACAGACAGACAGACAGATAGACAGACAGACAGACAGATAGACTGACAGACAGACAGAGAGAAGAGAGATAGAGAAAGCGCCGCCGTTTCGAGACCGTCTGATCGGGGATCGGGGCTTCGCCATGCTTCGCCTTTTCGCCTTGCGTCGCCAGGCTGCACCGTCCGTGCAGCAACAAACGGGACCCTTGATGTGTCCGTCGATGAGTCCTTGAGAGTCGTCGGGCTTGGCGGCGGCCCGGCGGGGACGGCGGAACTTCCCTGCAGGACGGCCTAGCCGGCTTGCTGGAAATAAGCGTCCTCGGTCTGGAGGGCTCGGCTCTCGGCTCTGATCCATGCCTGCTTTGTGCTTTGTACACTGTGCCCGCGTCCCCTGTGCGCTGCGGCGTCAGGAGAGGGGAAGAGAGGGGAATTCTCCGCACGCTTAAGACCTTTCCGAAGAATTTCTCTTTGAACGCTTGCGTACTGCTCAAAATACTTTATTGTCATCACTGTCAAAGCAAGTGTGGAGAGATCCACACCCACTGGTGCGGAGCAATTCTCCACTCTTGGACGTGTGGTGGAGCTTGCAGTGTCCACGCTTCAAGGTGTGGCTACTCTGCAAACTCAACAGTGTGCTCAGCACACTCTGTTCAGCGTGTACTCACAAGTACACTCCGACAAGAGTGTACTCAGATGAGTACACTCCAACGAGAGTGTGCTTAGATGAGTACACTCTGATGGGAGTGTGCCTGGTGGATGCGTACACTCTCACGAGGTGAGCTCAGATCCTGGAAATACATGCAGAGTACACGCTCGTGGGAGAGTGCTCGTGAGCACATGCTGAAGCTAGTGTTCTCGTGAGTGCACGCTAAAGAGAGTGTACTGAGTACACTCTCGAGTTTGCCCGGTAAAAACGGTACCTGATTTTCCCAGGAATTCCCTGGAAATCGCCTTTGTCTTTACCACAGGTTTCGTGGGAAAACCAGGTACCGTTTCTGCCGTGTGCAGTGCACTGCAAGCTCTGCACTTCCAAGTGCGGTGACTGAAAATTCCACCCTTGGTTCACAGTGAGGCAATGTTAACTCTCTGTTGTTGCGCCCAAAGAGCGCTTTGATTACTTCCCGTAATTACTTCACCTCAGCTTTCGCAGCAGGGCTCAAAGTGTTGCGCTGACTCGACTCGTGCCGTTCCAGACACATCGGCGCCGATAAAGTGAAAAATAATTATCTCCATGTTTACACATTTTGCCGGCGTGCCCTGAGCGCGGCCGGGGAGGGAAAGCCGACCGGAGCCGATACGGTTCGCAGGCCGAGTCCGAGGACCGCGTTTTCGCCGCGCCGTCTCTCTCGCACCTGCACGAGACGCCCCGTGGGTGGGAGAAAGACAGAGCGACAGTCAGCCTGCTGCAGCGGGCAGCCCCCCTCCCCCCCCTTCCCCCGGGTCTACCCCCGCCGGCTCGCCCTTGGCGCTGCCTTTCATACTGAATGGGGCGCATATTGCGACGTTACCCCCGCCGCCCCCTAGGCCGCCCCCAACCCCCGTCCGCTCCCGCCGGCAGATCTGGAACCCCGAACACACAAACTCACTACGGGCGGCCACGCCGACGCTCGCCCGATTGGGGCCGACGGCAGAAAATATATATTTATAGATATCAGGACGGCGAGCGCGCCGGACAAAAGGAGCTCTGCTCTCCTTCGGCCGGCGGGACGCAGACGTCGCGACCTGCCCAGGCCAGACGGCGAGACGACAACTTTCTTCCGAGAAACTCGCTCCAAGTGTCGCGACGGCAAAAATGGGGAGGGCTAAGCCGCCGCGGGGATGGCCTCCTTAGCGAGAGGCTACGCACAGTGGGCCAGAAGCCCGGTGGAGGCGGTCGAAATCCCGGACGCGTTTTGAGCTCCGCAGTCGCTGAAATGGGACTCGAGCCGAACGTGTGACCCCACCAATGGACTGCTCTCTGAACGAGGAATCCATTGATGGGGTTACACGTCCGGTTCGAGTCCCGCTTAACGACTCTGGAGCCCAAAACGCGAGTAGGGTTTTGGCCGCCTCCACCGGTCTTCTGGCCCACTGTGCGTCGACTTGGACGATTGGCGACTGCTGGTGTACTCACCGCCGCCGTTCTTCTGCGCCAGGTAGGGGAAGCGCCAGACGTTGCCGAGGCCGACGGCGTAGCCGATGGTGGCCAGCAGGAAGGTGAGCTTGCTGTCCCACGACTCGCGCTCCTCCTCGCCGCCCTCCGGCTTGAACATGGCCTTGCCCTCCGCCGAGCCCGCCAGCTTGCTGGCCGACGTCACCTTGCCGATCTGCAACAACGCGCTCAGCCTATCTCTCTCGCACTCATGGGGTTACCCCGAGGGGTTAACGACTTCGGGAATCCGGCTGACAGCAAATTGGAAATCCGTAATCCGGATAATCCGAAATTTTGAGGTAATCCGGGGTAATCCGGGAAAATTTTGAGGTAATCCGGGGTAATCCTGCTAAATCCAAAGGTAATCCGGGATTTTTTTGTTGTAATCCAGAGGTAAGTTGGGGGTAATCCGGGGTAATCCGTAATCCTGCTGACACGAGATTTTGCAGTCGTTACCCCCTCGGGTTCCCCGCTCAGGTGCGAGAGAGACAGAGCGACAAACTCGGCCTCAGCCTGCCGGCTGCCGGCCGATGTCACCTTGAGGATCCATGCAAAAACAACGAGCGTACCGTCAACTGGCACACTGATTCCGAGGGTCGATTCGCTCTGTCTCTCTCGCACTCGTGCGGCGCCCCGCATAAGTGCAAGAGAGAACAAAGCGACGACACAGGCTGTCGAGAGCTCCTGAAAGGCTCCCGTTTGGAAACAGCCTGCTGTCGTTGGTGTGCGCCTGCGCGTGCACCGAGGGGGTAAAGACTGGTAAATTTCGTGTCAGCCGGATTACGGATTACCGCGGAATACCCCGGATTACCCCCAAATTACCTCCGGATTACAACAAAAAGAAATCCTGGATTACCTTTGGATTGAGCAGGATTTACCCCGGATTACCTCAAAATTTCGGGTCATCTGGATTACGGATTACCAATTTGCTGTCAGCCGGATTCCCGAAGTCGTTACCCCCTCGGCGCGCACTCGAACCCTGGACGTGTTGTATGCCGTGACCATGCACTGTCAAACCAAGTGTGGCGAGAGGAGAACTCCTGCACTTCCTGGTACAAAAAGATTCTCCACACTTTGGGCTATAGTGGAGTTTGCAGCCTCGACGAGTGGAGTAGCTCACCACAGGGCCCTCTTGGCCTTGTGCAAAAGGTGAAAAACTCCCACTCTGGGAATTCCACAGTGTGCACCCTCGCCCTCCTGGTCATGACTCCAGGTGGTCCCCGTCACTCTTGCACCCCAACGGAGAAAGATGCTCCTGGAGTGCGAGAGAGACAGAGCGCCAATGTGCGGAATCATCCGGCCGTGAGTACTCCTCCGCCTAGCCCCGCCTAGCGGTGGCGCTCGTTCCAGGGCTTGGGCAGGAATCGCGCGCGAGATTGCGACTGCTACACTGGTAAAATATGAAGCAGAAATGCAAAATTTTATCGTAAAATTTCGATTCTGTTTTTAAAATTAAGAGTTTAGGTTGTCGGGACATTGACGTTTTATTTTTGTTTCTAAAATTAAGAGTTAAGGCCCTCGTAATATTGACGTTTGTTAATTTCACGGATCTTGTCGTTACTGAATTTTAATTTTTAAAATTACGATGGTATTTGTAGAGATTTCTGGTGTGAAATTACGACTTTTTGTAACACTGTACTTGTGCTTGAAGCCGAGCGTAGCAACTGCCACGCTTCACACTAAATTCTTGTGGACTTTTTTATGCATAGTTATGCATGCTCAGAAACGTCCATATGTTATGCATAATATTATGCATCACTGTGTACATTTTATGCAGGAAGATGCATAAAATGTACACAGTGATGCATATTTTATACATAACATATGGACGATTCTGAGCATGCATAACTATGCATAAAAACTGCGTCTTTATGCATTTAAAAAGTCCATAAGAATTTAGTGTGTTCGAGAATGGCGCCAAAGCCCGCCTGTTCCGCGCTATCAGTGCACCTCTAAGTGTCTCTCAATGAAATTTGAGCTATATGATACAGTGAATTCAGCGCAAGCATAATATTAAGGATAATTTCTCCTTGATGCGAATCTTTTATGGATTTTCATTGGAAGATACGCACGAAAAAAGGAATTCGTTGACCCAACGAAGACGTTGGTTCCGTGATAACCGAATAAAAATTTATCTGAGTAACGAAAGTTTACGACAAACAATCCGTTGGCGGAGCCAAAAAAGTTAGTTGGAGAGACAAAATCATGAATTTGTTCCCTCGACTGTTTTTTTTGTTGCGCTAACAGATTGTTTTAGTTTTACTAACAAAAATTTCGTAACTCAAACAAATTTTTCGTCACAGAAAAAAATTTTTTCGGCTCTCACGGAACCATCAACAACGTACTTTTTCCTTGGGTCAACGAATTCCTTTTTTCCGTGCGAAGCAAAATCTTCGTAATACGAAGAAAAATGACCTCCGTTTTGCTTGCGCTATTTCCTTCCTATTGTGGGAAATTCCATCGTATGTAGAGTGTGCCACTCGTGTAAATCTTGTCCGAATGTCAGAAACCTGTCTGAAAACCTGATCAAAATTCGCGCACCACTGAAAGCTGAAAACACCTCCTGACATTCTGTAGAACTCAAACCATCAATTTCAGAGTAATTTTTCAGAATTTCAGCTTTTAGAGGTGCTCGAATTTTGGCCAGGATTGCAGACATGTTTCTGACATTCTGACAAAATTTACACGAGTGGTGTCAAGTGTGACGCTGCCGGTGGCCCACCTTGCTGCCGGGGCTGGAGTCGTCGAAGGCGGCGTTGGTGGCGCCGTACGCGCGGCTGCTGGAGGCGCCGTTCTCCACGACGAGGCGGCCCCGCATCTCCTTCATCTCGAGGCGGTCCAGCGAGCGCTGCGGGTTGAGGTCGCGCGACGACTGGCGCCGCACCAGGTGCGCCGTGTTGGCCATGGCGGTGCTGCCCCGCGGCGTGTCGGCCCCGGACTCTGCGGCAGGGCGGGCAACAGTGGACCAGAAGACCGGCGGACTCTCATCCCAGGAACGTGACATCACGTAGAAACGAACGTGACAAACTGTCACGTTCGCTTGAGCATTGTGTCACATTCGTTCGGGTGTGAATTGGCCGAAAATCAGCTCGTTCACATTCAAACGAACGTGACACAATGCTCAAACGAACGTGACACTTTGTCACGTTCGTTTCAACGTGATGTGACGTTCCTGAAATGAGAGTGTGGATATCGGCCATAAATTGGCTTGTTCACTTTCAAACGAATGAGACACAATGCTCAAAAGAACGTGACATTTTGTCACGATCGTTTCAACGCGATGTCACGTTCCTGGAATGAGAGTGTGGAGGCGGCGGAAATGCCAGACGCGTTTCGAGCTCCAGAGTCGCTGAACGGGACTCGAACCGAACGTGTGACCCTACCGATGGATTCCTCGTTCGGAGAGCTATCCATTGTGGGGTCACACGTTGGGTTCGCGCTCGTCGCGTGGGTGTCGCGCTTCGCACTACAAGCCCGACTGCGGCAGCTCCACTCACCTGGCGGTGTGGTCGCCTACGCCACGCGCTGCCCCTCCGGCCGACGCATGCTGCAACACGAGAAAAGGGACACGTCAAGCGGGGACACTACACTGCAGTGGTGACGGGGCACTGAGCCGCGCAGACAAGAGTAGGCCTCTGCGTGTTGCATTGGATTTCCTTTGTCCGCTCTGATTCAGTATTCGACGCGGAGAGCTTCTATACAAATGCACCGGGTGGCTGCGCGCTCTCTAGGCCGGCAATGCTGACGACACTCTGATAGGAAACAGTCCAGAAAAAGAATAAAACAGGACAGAAAAGGTAGAAACAGCGCAGAAAAAGAATGACAAAGCACAGAAAATGTACAAAAAAAAGTAAAGAAAAAGTACGAAACATGCCCGGTCAGTTATTTATCTTGACTGTCCATACCTTGCCGCCTTTCGTGTTTTCCAAGCAGTGGAAAGGTGCAGACGCGCTGCAGCACGCTGTAAAAAAAAAAACCTCCCCTCCGTCGCAGGCGCCTGTGGAACACGGGGTAGGCAAGCCCGCCATCCTTGCCTGTTTGGCGGCACTGCCTACCCTCTACTTCGCAGGCGCCTGTGGAACACGGGGTAGGCAAGCCCGCCATCCTTGCCTGTTTGGCGGCACTGCCTACCCTCCACTTCACAGGCGCCTTTCGTCTGGGCGGTGCTCGCGGCCACGCCCGCGTAGTATTATTCCTCGCAAGGACACCCCCCCCTTACACACACACACACACGCACACACACACAAACACACACACGTCCGCGCGTTCTCCGCACATTCTCGGACACAGGTTGCTTTTGAGTCGGCCTCCTCTTCGCCAGCCCACAGTTCGTTTCGCCCCGCTCTAGTTCGTTATGCACCTCTGGTCAGGAGAACCCCTGAATGGAAAGCACTAAAGCCTAAACTGAATCTCGAGGACACCTTGCCATATTGAGATAGAAACAAAAAAAAAACCTCCTTGTCTCCTCCTCCTCACTCGTCACCGTGTCGTCGCCTTCGTCCTCTCCGCCTTTTCCCTCCTCCCTCCTTCTTTCTCCTCCTCTCTCCTCCTTTCTCCTACTCACTCCTCTCCACTCGTCCTTATCCTCCTTATCATCCCACTCATCCCTCTCATCCACCTCATTCTTCACCCCCTCCCCCTCCCCCCTCCTCCTCCTTCTCCTCCTCCACTGAAAACGTTATTGTCGGACACATGGCCAAATTATGGCGTGACAAAAAGTCACGCCAAAATTGGCGTGACACGAAATTCACCCTGATGAACGGCGTGACATGTGAGTCACGCCGCCATTTGGCGTGAATAACAATGCGTTTTATGAGACAAGTCATGCCAAAAAGCGGCATGACAAGAAATTAACACCAAAAATTGGCGTGAATTTTTGAGTCACGCCGATTTTTGGCGTGACTTTTGTGTCATGCCGTTTATTGGCGGGACACTTTATTCACGCCCCTGCAGCGGCACGAAGTCACGCCGGTAGATTTTCAGTGTTCTCCTTCTCCTCCTCCTCCTCCTCCTCCCCCTCCTCCTCCCCCTCCTCCTCCCCCTCCTCCTCCCCCTCCTCCTCCCCTCCTCCGCCACTCCCCATCGTCCTCCTCCTCGGCACTCAAAGCACGGCACCCGGAGAAGCCCCTAAATGAGAGAAGCGGCGCACAGGAGATGCTGGTCGCGTGTCTCGAGGCGCCGCCAACTGAAAACGCATTAAATTCATTTTATAACAATTAGGCGGGCCGAGCCGGAGCCGAGCCGCCCAGCCAAGAGGAAGGGCGCGCTGGGGGTGGCGCCGCCGAGGGGAGGGGTGGGGGAAGGGACGGAGGGGGTGGAGGAAGGGCCTGAGGGGAGGGGGGGCGTGGGGAGGGGGGGGAGGGTCTCAGGGGGTGGTCGGAATGGGGGAGAGCCTGAGGGGGTGGAGGGGGAGGAAGGGCGCTCACAGCTGACGGGGGGCTGGGTCAGACTGCGTGCCGCCAGCGCGGGCGCGGCGCCCTGCTCCAGCCCTGCTCCAGTTCCACGAGGGCCCATTCAAGCCCCATTCAGGGAGCGGTACACTTCACAAGGTCGGAAAATAATTTTGGAGTGCTTTAGCGGTAACTCATTTGCGGACAGGGCGACGTATCCCTGCAGAAATGGCGTTCACACTTAATGTTTTTGTACAAAGTTTGTACGCAACCTTGCCGTTTCTCTTTTATTCAGATCAACTTTTCCTTTGGATTTGAATGTGATTTTGCACGAAAATAGAGAAATGTGTGTAGGTTTTCTGACGAAATTTGTAACAAAATTTCATCCACACGAAACAACGTAACGTCTTGTACAAAATTTTACATAACTCTCGGTGTGGAGCGCGGTGTGGAGCCCCCACAAACAAAGGCCTGGACTCATTGTGGACAGGACCGATGGAGATGGCCAAAACCCTAGACGAGTTTTGAGCTCCAGCACTGGGCTCAAAACAAACGTGTGATCCCGCCAATGGATTCCTCGTTCGGAGACCAAAATCTATTGGCGAGAAACACGTTTAGTTTGAGACCCATTTACCGACTATGGGGCTCAAAAACCGTCCGGAATTTTGACCGCCTGCACTGGTTTTCTGGCCCGCTGTTGGAGGCCGCCAGGAAAAGGCGTATTTGTTTCTGGCCCCAAGAAGGAAGGCGTGGACCTGCAAGTGGAAAGATGCCGGGGGAAAAGGGGGGGGGGGAAGAGTGCAAGCTAAAGTGTGGAGGTTTAAGTGGCGACTGGTGGGAGTGGGACGGGCTGCGGGAGCGGAAGGGAGGGGGGGAGGGGGTGGGGGGTTCAGGACACAAACAAGCAAACACACCGCACGCAGCCGCTAGCGAGCTTGATATGAGTTCCCTGGTCAAGAGACTCTCTGAATGAGGCGGACCACTGCGCGGAATGGGAAAAGGGAGCACGGGTTGTCCGGCGTAAATACACACCCAGTGCAAAGCCGGTGGCAGGTTTACCTCCCTGAAAATTGGCAAGCTGTTTCGAGTGCCAAAAATTAGCAAGCCTCTGAAATCATCAGGATTCCAAATAGTTGGCAACCCGGCTGCCTGTAATGCCAAATGTTGGCAAGCTGGGGAGTACTTTAGAGACAGGCTTGCCAATTTTTTTGGAATTCAAGACGGCTCGCCAATTTGTGCATACATGGAATTGGCATAATATGCGTAAAAGAGCGGCGTCAGTAGGAAATATTGGAAGTGCAAGTAGAGGAGCAAGGGAACTTACCATTGGATTTGCAGAGTGAACTTTTTTTTTTTTGACTGTGTGCACAGTAAATGTCTTACGGTGAAAGGCTGCACCTTCAAATTATGGTGGAGATTTTCTCCATAATACCACCGAAATTCGTCAAAATATCTGTAAGGTACAGTGAATTCTCAATGGTATGTTACGAAGTCAGCTGCACCACCATAATATGGAACACACCACAATATGGAGAATCTTCACTGTAGAACATTTAGAGTGTGCAGAGCGAGTGCGTTCCGTGGGTCGGCCACACGAAAAGGAAACTGTCCTGCGGCCCGGCCAAGGCATCCAAGGGCTCGGTGGCGGCGGGCCGCGGCGGGGCGCGTTGCTCCTGGGACGCGTCCCTCCGCGACCCATTTCCCAGCAATCGATACGCCCTCCGCCCTCGCCACGTTACGGCCGGTCAGTGTAGCGGCGAGGTGCCGGCGGAGCCAGCATGGCACCCCTGGGTCTAGGACTTGTCTGCGACGCACAGGGGGCCAGGGACAGGTGCCACTCAGAATGAAAGAGTCACCACTATCGCTCTTTCGTTGGATGACGCACGCATCGTCGCTCAATTTTGGGTGACGAGCCAGTGGGGACCAAATTTTGGGCAGTCATAAAATCGTCGCCCAAATTTGGGTGACGTCGTCGGCGACGCCGTGAGGTCCCCGATGATGTTCTTCCGGGGCCACCGCGATGACTGCCATGTGGCGTTGAGGCCTCCGGTCATCGTGGTGGCCCCGGAAGGACATCGTCGGGGACCTCACGGCGGCGTGCCGACGACGTTACCCATAGGGATGAAAATGCCCGGAAAGTTTCCGGAAACATTGGAAAAAAACAGTGTTTTTTCCGTTTTTTTCCCTGGCCTCGGAAAAATTGGAAAGATTCAGCCTGAAAAGTAGGCAAAAAGTCGGGCATTTCGCCTGAAAGTAGGCTAAAAGCATACCTTTAACCCTACTGTGAACACGATTCTCAGTGCACTCAAACTACTTATACCCTGTTATAACTCCTTCTCGTGCGTTTTTTGAGCTTGCTGTTGTTAATCTCGGGTTGTCAGTATAGGTAAAGTTGTAAAAAAGCACAAAAGTGGTTGGTTTCATGTTCATAGTGCTTAAAAACTAATTTTTCCTATTTTTCCTTTTTTTCCAAATTTTCTGGTTTTTTTTTTCAACTTTTCCCGGTTTTTTCCGACCCTTTGAAAGTTTCCGGAA